TTACCGTGCTGTTTTAGACATGATTCACGTACATATCTGCAGGATTTGGGTTTGAACAATGAAAATCATTGTCTTCATACAACGATCATATGCATTTAAAAAGACAGATCCTCCCGTAAACCAGCACAGCCAACAGACGTGACAACGTCAATTTGGTTGTCACACAACATTGAACAAATAACAAGTTCCCAAATAATGAATTCTAAAAAGACACCGATTGTTGCCGGAGTTAATCTACTATTTAAATCATTTTATCCATATCTTTGAGCTTTGTGCATTTTCAAACCAATGGTTTGAAATGGAGATTACAGAACTGAGAAAATACATACATACATACACAAAACATATATACTGTTTGGTTTGTAGCAGATCGATAGAGAGGTTCCACTCGTAGGGCTCAGGCATCGATTTTGGAAACTTTTGTTAGCAGACAATGGCTTTTCTTTTCCTTTCTTCAGTGTTGAGTCACTGTGTTTGTTCAAATGTGCTTCCACGTTGTTACTAATGGGATTCAATGTGTTTGGCTTCAGGGGGTAATTTAACTTTTAGGCAATCATATATACTGCAGAAGTCAAACATGTCAGCGGGAGCTGATTTAGAGCGCTCATTTACGTGTAAGTGTGTGTGTGTGTTTCTTGGATCCATTTGTGATCCTAAAGCAGAGAATGCAAGTTAATTTTCCTCCACAGAGTCTGTAGGCCTTTGCTCTTAACTTGGCACCGAGTAGAGATCAGATGGAAGACGCTACTTCAGTTGCAATTCAGATCACTATAAATTATAAAATAGTAGTTTTGCATATTATGGATCACATTCACAGGCAGAGGCCTCAGATTAAAAACATAATTAGTTACAGTACGATACAACCCTGAAATTAGAGGGTTTTTGGTCATTTGACTCATGACTTTAAATGCGAGTGCATCATAATTGTGTGCTGGACAAAGCTAGAGACTTTTTTTCCTTGTCTCGGCATAGTTTAGGTATTTGAAAGTTTCCCGAATATCCTCCTACTGACTACTGGAATCTGGTAAATAAAAAGCATTAAATACTGTGTAGAGTACTCAATGCCTGCGAGACAGATTTACATAATGTTGCACGGCAATTATAAAGAAAGAATTAAACAGGTTAGTCATGGAATGATTAGGTACGGTTGAATTTTGTGATCAGATATGCATTGTACTTTTATTCAGAATGAGCAATTAGATTATGGTCGCTGTTGTTTAATAATACGGCCAATGTGGTGACACCCTTGTGTCAGGATTCCTTTGTGATTCCTTGGATTCCATTGATAACTTTTACTGGAAATGGAACAAAACGGTCCAACCTGAATGGAATGTAAGTTAGAAGTTTGTCTGTAAAATACAGACTGTGAGAAGAACCAATTAGGCCAATGAAGAGGAATACAATGAAGTGCATGCATAGATATAGGTTATCGCTCCTTTGTGGTAACATGCACTTGCGAGATGCATCTCTCTCTTCCTCATTTGCTTTGCTTCTTTCTCTCCTGTCTTCGCTTCCCCAAATCCCTTCACTAACACGTGTACAAAACAAAGCCATGTAAATGTATCGGGAGGGAGGGGATTATTTTAGAGCGCTCCCCCCCACTCACAAGAAGACGTGCTTCTTAACCCTCCTCTTCCTCATACCTCCCGCTTTCACCTCGCCTCCCTGCCTCGCGCCTCCGCTCACGTCCTTTCCCCAAACATCTCTCTTGAGCCGGATGGGTGCAAGCAACGATATGAAAGCGCAGAGGGTTGTTTATGACTCAGTGTTTCCACTACCTGATTTATATATTCCTTTTACGCAGAGGAAGAGAAAGGGGGGCGGTGGGGGGGAGTGACGCACACAGGGATAACTGACGAGGGAGATGAGGCAAAGATAGCTTATGGTAAAAAACAGACCCGGGAAAGGCTTTGTCAGTAGGATGTAGTCATACCGAGGTAGTGTCTCTTTCCACTTTACAAAGAGATGCCTTTCTTTCTGTGTTTGGGCGTCATTAGTAAAGCTAATTCCAACGTGAGATTTGCATAGTATGACTCACATACAGGGCGAGCTCGATTGAGAGCACAACCCACATGATGATATGTCATTCATCCATGGGATGTCAAAGGTCAGGGTCAGCCAGCCACAGAACAGAACTCCGAGAGCTGCTTTGGGTTCAAACGTTGCTCGTACCGAAGTAGATTCCCGGAAGATCGATGCTGATATTGGGGATAAATAATTTCCATGTTTACCTGAGGAGGAATCCCCAAAACCGCTTTGAATGCATCTCGTCAATTTTGACATTCAGCCGAGTGCACATCTGCTGCACGGTAGACATTTTCCAGAAAAGCCAATGTGGCAGTCTGACCCAACAGAGACACCGAAGGATGTATGAAGAGTGTGTTGTTCTTGTGTTGTTAGCCAAGTAGAAACATATTAACATATGAGAAGATGATTTGCACGTCATCCACATTTGCATTATGTTTCCTCCACATTCCTCCTTTTTATTTTTCTCTTCCAATGGTCTTGAGGGCATCAGTCCAGAGCCTCACTTTCTCATAGCTCCACACAATTGAAGTAGTATACTTAAAATAACAGATTGTAACATTTAGGGAGATATATATATATATATATATATATAGTTTCAGTTAGTTGTATGTGTTATTTTTAACAAAACTAGTAAATACAATAAGTATATTGATATTTTCTCTTAGCATTGATCCACAAATTGCATTCAAAAGCATGTTGGAACTTCAGCTGAAACCGTGGCGCTGAGTCCAGACCTGCCGGACCTCAAGCTGTGTGCCACCGCCTCATTCCCTTTCTCTGGGTGTTTTATCCTTTTAAACGGTCAGAATGAAAGTTTAAATGTTGCCTGGACATTTTTTACAATTGGCATTGATGGAAAAGTTTTTTTATTCATTTATTTTGCAGGGACAATGCACACTAATCAACCATTGTAATGTAAGTTAGTCAGAGAGGTTCATTTTTTATTCTAAAAGCGAATGAAATGAAGCTCAGACCAACGGACAATACACAGCAAAAGAAAAGAAAAGTGTACAACACAGCAGCAAATTTGCTTGTGGTTACAAAAGGGGGTTTGTAGCGAGAAAGCAAATTATGTGGGGAATAAGGTGAAATAAAATAACCAGTTTTACTTTTGGTAATGATATTCACTCATCTAATTTTGGACAAGCACAGTGGACCATTTTAACATCTGCACCCACATATCTGTATTGGAAGCCTGATGTTACTATGGGTCTTTTAATAGCAATAATTTTCTGACAGTTTATTTATTACAAAACCAGCCATCATTGTCATCCAGCTTTTTGTTACTGCATTAGACGCAACAATGCATCGCTTCCCCAGTGTCGCTCTGATTGCCGTTGGAATAGATCACCGAAGTGGCAAACCTTCTGTGTAAAATATAATCTTGTGTGACTTCCTTTCAATTCTAATCCATTTTAAATGCAAATGATAAACTTGAGAAAAGAGGAGACTTGCTTCAACTGTGTCACTTAAGAACAAACTGTCCGCATGTGAAATTGACATTATTAAACGTGGCGAATGTCAAATGTGTCACTACAGGAAAAGTAGATTTTCCTTGGGCTTGAGAACGTTGTTACAAAACTGCTCATCACCATAAAAATGCCTGTGAGGGTGAAGGGACGTGAGCCCCGAAAGATGACCGACCCAATCCAACCTTCTGTAAAAGAATATATCCGTGCGATCACAGGCAAGTAGGAGCGTGTTGCTAAATTGTAAGAATCATGTATAACGGCCCCGTCGGGTGCAAACCCTGTTAAGACAGCACGTAGACACGCACGTGTTGCCCTGTAAATTACACTTAATGGCATTGTACGTTTTTTTTAATTTATGTGTTATATCGGTTGAGCCTGTCACTAACATTTGTAATGTTTAATTTCCATTCACTAATCACCTTGACACAAAACATCAATACATCCATGACCTTTGGAGTAAAAGAAAAAAAAAATCCTCAGAGACTTGCTTGTGGTTCACAGCTTCCACATTTCTGGGAAAAGAAAAACTAGAGTTACATTCAAGCTCGTTGCAGCTGTTTGGATTGTCTGGATTTGTTTAACGGCGTCTCCTCCTGCGTGACGTATGAGGGGGACACGGAGATATCTCCGCTTCAAGGCCTGCTGTGTGTGCAAGATTACGGTTTCAAAGTGCAGCCTAATGTGTTATAGAGGCAGTTTAATGTTCTATTATGGAAACCAGAATCCTGACAACCAATAAAACATCCAGATGCAATTTGTCGCCTCGATGCTGTCGGTGGATAAATACGCCGTAGCCTTCTTTCTTTTGTGGGTCAGTCTCTTGGTGGCTCTTTGTGTTTCACATGTCACAGGCCTCTGATTACACAATGTCATGTTTATGAGCCTTTTGTATCCGAGGCTGAAAGTTAAAGAATACTTAGATATTTGTGACTCTGGCGCTGTGGTTCTGTGATTCCGGATCAGCAGGATTAGCGGAAAGACGAACTCGCAAGCCGCTTGACGTCACTTGCATATGATGGTTGTGTGATTGATAGAGGTTTTTAGCCCGGGGAGAACTGTTTTGGATGCAATCTGTGTTTTATTCCAATTATGGCAGGGATCACAGACACCGCCAGCGTGATGGCAAACCAGCTGACAGCTTATCCCACGGGACCGCAAACGAGCCGTACGGCGATGGACGATGACACAATTGCAGCCTCAGTCAATATTTGGTTGAAGTGTAGACTTTCAGCTTTAATTCAACGAATGTAGGAAAAACACTTAACAATTGTAGGAATTATAGCCGTGTTTACACAGTCGTTCCCATTTTCGGAGGCTCAGATGAATTGGACAAACTGGTGAATACAAGGATTATTTGTAATCCTTTGCAGCATTGATGAGGTCTCGATGTCACTAGACGCTGAGTTGCAGACAAGCAGCCTCCTTTAGTTGCTGCTTGTCTGCGGGTCTTTCTGCCTTCAGTTCCGTGGCGTGTAAGTTGAAAGCACGTTGGATCGGGTTAGGATCAGGTAACCGACCTGACCAAGACACTGTTCACGGTGCTTCCCTCGGCCTTGGCAGGTAACACAAGAAACGCACGGTGGGACGTGATACAGCGCTCAAGCCCTGACGACGTGTTAAACCCACAATACAACACAAGCGCTCCTCTGCTTTTGAACGGTCACTGATCAAAAATTGAGGTGTTTAACCTCCAACACCGCAGCAGGGTACGTGATATGAGAGAAGATCTCCCTCTTAACGGTCCTCTTAAAGGACATAAGTCCGTCCGCGGGATCTTAACCCCCTCGCTGTGCTTGCGGTAACGAACGGCAGCTAATGACACCACCTCTGCAGGCGGACTCCCCTTAGCTCAGCCAGTTTGCTGGTGGCTTTCTGGGAGATGAGAGTGTGGTGGGTGGGGGAGCGGTGGGGAGGGAAAGAGGGAGCGAGATAGGAAAAGGACACAGCAGGGGGCTGTCACAACTCGTACCGGCCCGGGCGCTGAGGCGATCAAAGGGCCCGGGTGCAGGCGGGAGGTGGAGGGCGCGCCCGGTGTCATGTCAATATGCCGCGTTGTTCACAGTCGTGCGCACCGGTGTGGATCCGCAGGTGTTTGATGGATTGTGTAACACGTGGTGTCCTCTGCTGCCCTAGTTTGTGCAACCTATAATGAGCAATTTCATGTTTCATTAACTGCGCTATGTTTCTGTCCCGCTTATCCCTCAGCCACAGGGATCTGAAGCCTGAGAACCTGTTGCTCGACGAAAAGAACAACATCAGGATAGCAGACTTCGGCATGGCCTCCCTTCAGGTCGGAGACAGTCTGCTGGAAACCAGCTGCGGGTAAGTGGTACGGGCGCAACGTCTCGCTCGCATCCTCTGCAATCAAAAATGTATTCTATAAGTAGGTGGGCACGTGGATTTGCCGGAATGCAACCGGGAGGATGGAGAATGATGAGTGGGGCTATCGAGCCCTCTGCGAGGCGCCGTGTTTTCCTCCGTCTCTGAGCTGGCGTTGGTCTGTTGAGGCTGGGAAGATGGGTAGGCCCTGTGACATCTGACCCCATCTGGATTATTCCTCCAAATTATCCGCAACTGAACTGAAACCACACACACTTGCACACGCGCAATCCCACAAACATGCATGTGCACACAGCTCTGCTGAGGCTTAGCTCATTTCGGAACCCTTGTTCTCTGCTGTTTTTTTTGTCTCTCTGTCCCTTTCTATAATGCGCATGCACACACACACACACACACACACACACACACACACACACACAGATATATAATCATGTGCACGCACAAACGCCGGCATTTGAAACCGTTGCATAATGCTTTCCAGCAAGTAGCGCAGTGCCAAAGCTCTCATGACTCATCTGTAGAGATCAGACCAACGGAGACAACTTTGCATCTGCCATCTGCAGGTGAAGTAGGAGGCAGACCACACACACACACACACACACATAAGTTCAGTTTCCGTTCCACCCTCAGCTCCATCACTGTTATGCGGCTACGTGTGTGTGTTTGTGTCTGACTTGCCTGATTCACAGGAACGTGTCATACGCTGCATGTGTGGTCATTGATTATTCATGCTCTTCTGACTGTCACATCTCTAAGTGTAGATATGACAGTTTTTAATTAAACACATCTATCTTGGCCCCCCTTCTCACCATGCAGTGGTGTTGACACAAATGTATTCCATTTTCTACGGTTAATGGAGCTGAGTGAAGATGAGACTGACATGGTCCAGGTAGAGTAGAGGGGAACTTCTGAGCACATGGATGAATACATGCAGGCAAATTCACATGCACCGACGGGCAGATGCCTTGACGAGCACAAATACGGATCCGGTTCAAACTCTGTCACTCCGTCTGAATGAGACCCAGCTGCGGGTTCATCGGTGCTTGCTGCTTGTTTAGTTTGCTTGCTTTGATTGATCAAAGGAAATTATCTTGTCCGCAGCGAGGAGCCGCGCAAATTTGGTTTGAAAATATTTTTTTTTACAAAAAAGGAGCTGCGTGTCTTAGTGTGTCCACATTATTGCTGGCCGATACTGCCTGAATCTTTCAGAGAGCTTTTGATACTTTCCCTGCAAACAGGAGGCCGTGTTCTGTGTATGCCGTAACACGTTGTGGGAAACCTGAATGGATATTTTTTTTGAATGAACTCTTAGTGGGAGCAGCCACATCATATAACTCGAATTAAGAAGTTCATTGAATGCTGGTAAAGCCAAAAAGGAAAGGGGTCCTAAATACTCAGGGGTGACGCATTACTTCGGTAGTTAAATGAGTCCGGAGTTCGATTTAAAGCTGACAAATGTGCAGATTGACGGAAAGTAGGCCATGTAATTCGTCAGAGTAGAAGAGAGATGATCATGTTTTCGAAAGCACATGCTGTATATATGACCAGTCAGATTTAGTGTTCTTATATTGACAAATTACGATCAATGTTATTATTGTTAACGAAAACTAACGAAAAACTAAAACGAGGTGTGATTTTTTTTTTCGTTAACTGAAATGAAATAAAAACGAGCCTTTATAAAAAACGATAACTAACTGAAACTGTATTGTGTCTTTACAAAACTAACTAAAATAAAATAGAATTATAGAGAAAATGTCTTTAGTTTTCGTCTTTGTCAATAATATAGAACAGCGGTTCCCAAACTCAAAAGTCCGTCTCGCGCGATCAAAAGTCCGTCTCCGCGAGGTATTTGCTCACTTGCGAAACGTGAATCTCTGCTCGCGCTCGAAGGAGTTTTCTACGCGCTCGCTGTTCTTCTTTTTGACAGTAAGGTGGAGACGGTGCTTTCAGGGTCCGATCGATGCTGCGAGGTGCGTCCGCTCCCGCCGCCCCCCTCGCCATCCACGCCTTAAATCTTCGGCTGCTTTTAGAATAACTTATTTCCCCGTTAAGATGGTTCAGCTACTGTAGAGAAAAGGGCACCGTATGGCGTTATATTTGTGCCACAATCCTGAGCGCGTAATTTTAAGTTTTGAGCACAGAGAACTATGTTGTAGCAAAGAAAAACATTCCGTGCGCGCAGTTTACTGAGGTGCCCTCGCCACAAACTGGTTTTCTGCGCGCAGGCAGCGGTTGCTGCGCTCTCTCGCTCCACCTCTTCACGCTGCGCTCGCTCGACGTTTCACTCACGCGCTCGCTCGACTTGCAGCAGCGTTACATTTGTGCCACAAAACCAACCAATCAGAGAATTAAAGAAGGTCCATTTTGATTGGCTGTTGGTCTCCAATCACAACGCTTCCTAAAGAAGACGAAAACGAGTGATATTAGAAGTCCGACTAGCCACCATCAGACATGACCGAAGCAAATGATGAGAACACCAAATGTTTTAATCCAGGCCATTAGCATTTAGCACAAATGCTGCAAACTTCAACAACTCGCTGAGCTTCCGCGATGCTGTAGGTAGTTCTACTAGCGTTGTGATTGGAGACCAACAGCCAATCACAATGGACCTTCTTTAATTCTCTGATTGGTTGGTTTTGTGGCACAAATGTAACGCTGCTGCAAGTCGAGCGAGCGCAGAGTGAAGAGGTGGAGCGAGCGCAGCAACGGCTGCCTGCGCGCAGAAAACCAGTTTGTGGAGAGGGCACCTGAGTAAACTGCGCGCACGGAATGTTTTTCTTTGCTACAACATAGTTCTCTGTGCTCAAAACTTAAAATTACGCGCTCAGGATTGTGGCACAAATATAACGCCATACGTCTCTCGCTCTTTAATCTCATTAAATGTTCGGCGAGAACGACAGCTTTGTTTCTCCGACGCGCCCTGAAACAAGCTCCACATCTCACGCGCTTGAGCGCCGCTCAGCATCTCGCCGTCGTAGACGAGCTTTGGCATGTTCGGCAGAGCGCCTTGAGCGCCGTGTACAACCAGTATGGATCAACCGATTAACCAATTGATCCGTATATATAAGGCGCTCCGGATTATAAGGCACTGTCGTTTTTTGAGGAAATTAAAGCCTTTTAAGTGCGCCTTGGAGTGCGGACAATGCGGTATATTTACTTTAATACTACAAGAGGGCGCCCCGCTTGTTGAACAAGACAGGCGGACAAGAGCAGCCGTTTCGAGCGAGAGCCTTATTGTTTTATTAATCGGTTCGTTTAAATTGTTTGTGCTTCATCAACTGTGCCGCAATCATACATATTTTTATATTAATTTCAAACTTTTAAAAATTGAAAATTAAAAAACTTAATTTATTGTAAATGACCTCTCGCGGCCCACCTGCAGTACCTTTGCGGCCCACACTTTGGGAATCGCTGCTCTAGAGTTTTTATTGGGTTTTAGATTTTTTTTTTTTCAGATTGAGCTCTCAGAGACTCCCGGCTCCCAAGCAATGTCATGTGTGGCTCATTAATGGGTTCAGTACATGCTGTTCACGTGTGTCTTTAGTCTATTGGCTATAGCATCTTGTATAGACTGGTTTAGTTTACATATTTGTACCCATATCTACATTTTATGTTCTGTTGTTAATATTGTTTTGTCCAGTGAAATTTTTCTGGTTAATGACACAAACACACTGACTGACACATATTTCATAGTTGTCTTTTGGGGATGGCTGTTCATCTGTCCTAAATACATTTTTTAAAATGGTATGTTGTGTTGAGTTTGTATTACTTATTATAGCTTGTATCTACAATTCATTTTGAGCATTTTGTTTTGCAAGCAAAAAATGAAGCTTCCCTGACTACGCCCCCCCCCCCCCCCCCCCCCCCCCCCCTTTAGTTTAAAGACTAAAACTAATACTGAAACTAATAAAAACTAAACTAAAACTAAGCATTTTCAAAAAATAAAAACTAAACTAAACTAGCAAACCTGCTTTAAAAACTAATTACAACTAAACTGAAATTGAACACAAAAATTAAAACTAGTGAAAAATTCAAAACTATCATAACCTTGATTAGGATGCAGCTCAGATGCTTGTTTACCGTCTCTACCTTCACCCTGTTGTTGCCACCTAAAGCCCCTGCAGATAATTAGCTCATATTCACGCTTGTTCCAGCAGTGGCTGGTGTGCAGAAGCACGCACCAGGTATAACTACTGCAAGTCGCAGGACCTATTTTTTTAAAATCTCATGTATATCTCTTTCCTTCCTTCCTCATCTGCATAATGCACTATGCCGAGGTTTTAACGGGAGACGGGAGCCTGATTGGCTTTCCGTGTACGATCACATGTGGGCATGTTAAAAAAAGAGCGCTAATCATGAGCTGCTCCCTTTCGCTTCAAGGGGCCTGATTTGTCAATCTGGGAAAGAACTGCAAAAGCACCCCTGTGCATATTCAGAATGACAAGTCACTCCGTAGCATCCCATAAGCAGCCGCTGCGAGGTAGCTCCATGAATTGTCACGTGATATTGACGTGTCAATCTAGCCATTGGGTTTACTGGCAGCTCATCCAGCTGCAGTAAAGATTAGCAAGTCTGTTCACTGTCTGCCGGGAGACGATGCCCTTGAGTGTGCGAGCTCGGAGGACATCTGAACACCCTCAGGACGTCTACGCTCCTGAAACACATCTTGAACATCTTGCTGGTCTGCCTACGTTGGTCTTTTTATGCAGCGCTGCATGACTATGTTTAGTGTGGTGGATTTAGGTTACCGAGTGCCAGAGAGAACTCTAGATCAGTATTTGTTGTGCTGTGGTTGTACAACCATGACGCACTTTGCTGTACAGCCGTACATATGGAAAAGTAACCTGGATTAATTTCTTCCTTGATGTCATTTCCTCAATTTAATCCCTGTTTTTACCCTTTTTTCTGTTTCCCAACAGATCTCCTCATTACGCCTGTCCAGAGGTCATCAGGGTGAGTCCTTTTTCAATCAAACAGAATGTTTTTAGCTTCATATTGCATTATTTTATTAACACTCTGACCTAATCCCGCTAAAATACACTCTTATGCAGGGGGAGAAGTATGACGGGAGGAAAGCAGACGTCTGGAGCTGTGGGGTCATTCTTTTTGCCCTGTTGGTGGTGAGTGTCAGCTCGTTCCCTACTAATTGATGGTGATTCAACTGACAAACAGCTTCCACGTGGAAAAGTGACATAACAAAATTGACCCATGAAGTGTCGCCTCGCCTTCGTAGCAGAGTGCTCAGCCTTTCCAACAGCCGTAATGGATCGTGGGCCGAGAGTAAGTGAGCCTGCTGACAGCGCGTTCCCAACTTGGCACCCCGTTGACTTGAGGTTGACCTCACCGTAATGGAAAGGGAAGATTAGCGACACCATGAAGCTACCAGGGAGCCTAAAGTTAAATTCCAAATCGTATCGCTTAGAAGGTCTAACTGGAAAAATGTTTCAGGAACCACCTCAAGCTGAAAGTCGTGCGCAACAGAATATCAGAGAATAGAGGCATCTTTCTTTATTCATTATCCACATGCAACGCTGTATCCATAATGGGGTCTATTCTCCAGCTACATAATGCCTGTGGTTCCCCGGCCGTGCAGCCCGGAAGCTTTGTTTCATCAACAGCAGTACTGTAATTCCTACACACTTCTGATTCATAAATAATTCATACAACAAAACTGAAAGAAGACCGACCAAAATAAATATCTACGCTGACAGGGCGGCTTTTGGCCAAAGGCCCTGTGTGTTTTTACTTTTTTGCCTCTTTCTCTTTCACTCAGTTTCTTTCTGTCTCATCTGTAAGTGTGTGTGTTTGTGAGTATTAAGGACAGTCTGCCGACACGCTTGTGTTGTGGAAACCCAGTGGTGTTTACTGTTGTCTCCACTGAGACCGCACTTCTCTCGCTCTAAAGGAAGGCTCCTTACCCAATGCCAATTGGCTGCAGATTCATTTTGTCTTCCTCCCGTTTCTTCCTGTCGTCTAGCTGCGAGGTAACCATTTGTCTGATTGTGGGAGACGCGCATAGTCACCAGCAGTTAGACTTAGATCATCCGTTACATAAGCCTCCCCCCTCCACCCCAAACCCGGATCTCTCTACACCTCTCTTCATTTTTCAGACTTTCTTTCCGTCATTCTTACCCTTTTCCTCTTACTCTCCCCCTCCGTCTTGCCTTGTGGTGGAGGTTCTCATTCATCAAACAGCCACATCTGTGAGGCGTCGGCGCGCTCTAATAAATTACTCCGATGAGAGAATGCTAAATGAACGAGGTAAAGTGGAGAGCTGGGTAATCACTAGAAAAAGCCCGGTTTTCAGCTTACCGCTGTTTATTATTCATTTTTCATCGCGGCTGAGGGAAGAATGCTCTACTAATTGGACGGCTGAACAAGTTGAGAAAGCGCACTGTTTCCTTTAAGTTGTGCAGGTTTCAGGCTTCAAATGTAGTTTTATTTTTCTCCAGCGAGCTTTGTTAGTCATTATTTTTCTTCGCCCTGAAGGGCGAAGGCTTATTTTCTGTTCTAATACCGAGCTCTCTAAACTAGACTTTCTTCTCTAATTTAGTTTCTACATCTTCACCCTTTCCCAATTTATTTCCCCTGTTCTGACTTCTCTGTTCTTTTCATGCATCTCTCCAGGGTGCACTGCCGTTTGATGACGACAACCTGAGGAATCTGCTGGAGAAGGTGAAGTTGGGAGTTTTTCACATGCCACACTTCATTCCTCCAGACTGTCAGAACCTCCTCCGTGGCATGATTGAAGTGGATGCCACCAAAAGACTAACGGTAATTTTAAGGGACTGGATGATAGCACACCGTTTGATTATGTTCCCATTTTTCTGCGTTTGGTCTCGGGCTGCCTTTCATGCTTTGAGCAATTTAGGGAAACCTTCAAACCACCACATCGTATTCTATTTTAGAAAATAATTTTGGGAGGGTAGTCTAGGCCAAGATAGGCATCTTTGCTTTGATAGGTTTCCCAAAAAAAAAGTGTAGGGGGGAGTTTGAGAGAGGACCACTGTTTATTGCAATCATTAGGGAGCCAATCCGTTGCCAAACAGCAAGGTGGCAAGGTGGTGGGAAGATGTTGAGATAGAAGCAGCCTAGCAGCTAGCTTAGCCTAGCAGCTAGCTTAGCCTATCAGTGCGTAAAGTGTCTTTCCACTCATCCCCCCCTTCTGTTTGACACCTGGAAGAATTCCTCTGTAACGTTCTCACCTGTATGTCACGCTTCTGTTTGTTTTACTTCCAATGCAAGAGGTTCTCTCCATCTTCAACTATCGTCTCGTTTTATCCGACCTAACTGACTGCAGACACGCTGCGGTTTCGTGTCAGGGGTCAATGCACACAGGAAGTAAACAAACTTGCGCTAATTGCGTTCAGATATTTTACCCGATTAACTTTGACCGCCCTGGTTGCTACACTTTGTCCATGTCGTGCATTTGACGGTGCAGGATATGAATCAGTGCAGGTGCTTTTTTTGAATCGGTGCATTTAAGAAAAGCCGTTTTCTTGCTTCAAAGTGGATGATGATGGTTGACTTCTCCGTGCCTTTGCTATTCTACATGAGACAATGTCAAAGCATTAACTTGAGCGACCAAGCCTATTTGGTGTGCTGTATTTTGCTGGAACAGGTCACCCTGAGTTCCACCAGATGTGTCCAGCAGCCTGCAGCGCTGTCCTCGACAAGGCTGGAGAACACCTCCACGACGCCCCCTCCTGCTCCTTCGGGGCCCCGAACTGAGCTCTGGGGATGTGTTGCAACCTCACAGGATGTCAAATAGCCACGTTCGATTTGGCGCAGTTGGAGTTTAGTGGCGACTGTCGAGTGTAAGAATACGTGTTCAAGATTTGGTGCCTGGTCGGGGTTATCAAAAATTCAGCCGAACGACTTCTCTCGTTCTGAGAAATTTATTTGTCAGATCACAGGTCAAGTATCAGCGCTGCGTTTGCAAAGGCAGGAGCAGTTCAGGCAGCACACAGGCCGGAAGAATAACTAACTAACATCAGCAAGAACATTATGTTTTATAACCCTTGAAAGACAAAGAAGGAAATATTTCTATTGGCCCTAAACTGGCGTAGAGGAGGACCTTCCACCTCCCGCATCAAAAGATCCGGTCACATCCAATGTCCAGACTCCTGACTTAACGTAAACATCGTAAACAGAGTGTGTATGTTGAATAGTGTTGGTGTGTCTCTAACCCCCCTTTGGCTGGTAAATCTTCTAGTTGACCCGCAGACCTTACATTCCTCAGCCAGGACAGAAACTGACTCCCCATCCTGTCAGACTCGTGTCTGCCTGCTTGGCAGATCCTGCTTACCCCCTTACCTAACTCTTAAATCAAGACAAGACAGCAAACCCCCAACTAAGCCCATGAAAAGAACTTTTGATTATCACGAGTCAGAGACGAGACAGCTACGCCAAAAGGAGGGGGGGAAGACACCTTTGAGACCGTGCTAGGGATTCTCTTTCATAATGATGTGGACTGTAGCTCGTTGAATCCAATCGATAAGGTAATCAGAGCGCTACTACTACTACTACTACTGGCCGGGTTTCAGTATGTCTGTCACTGTCACCTCCGGTTAATTACATTCCTCTAGTCTAGTAGATTCACACAGGTACACACACATGAAGCCAAGGCCCTGAAGGGTCTTGAGTGGGAGGGCACGCATCCAGGCTCAAGGAGCTTAGCCCAATAAAAGCCTTTTTGTCTAGTCTGTGGGCCCCATACTGTCTTAACACGGTGTCATCTTCAGTATTGAAATGAGCACCGTCCCCCTGGAAAGATCTGCATCCTGGTGATAATGAAGAGGGGTGGTAGCCTATTATATTAAACAACACTTCACCACGGGCGTACGATATAATTATAGGGGCGGCACAGAAGTGCAGATGTTGTTAAAATAAAAATAATGGGTGTTTTTTGGTGTAACTTGGAAATTACACTGTAGTTAATCACACATGCAGTCTGTTTGAAGGCTGCTTACCTTTAAAGGGGGTGTAGTTCTTTTTATGTGGTACAACCGACTCAAATGCTAAGCTGTTGAAAAATCAAATAAAAAATTTGAGCCACACAAAAAAAGAGGAGTGGGTAACTAATTTGCTCAACAGCTAGACAGAAAGGTGCATTGTGTAAGATGGAGACATAAGATATGAAAAAATAACTGTAATAAAAATAAACAGAAGGTGAAAAGCTTACAGTGTTGTTGTTGTTGTGTAACAAACTTAAATGTGTTGAACTGAGCGTGTGGAGCGGCTGACCCCGGCGTATCCTCTCTTATTGTATCCTGAGAGGTGAGTCACTCTTGTCTGCTCTCAGTCCAAGGGATGGAGGGATATCACGTTGAAGGTACAGGGTGCACGTACGGTTTGTTTATTGGATTAAATCCTAAGTGTCAAAAGCGAGAAAGTGACTTGGCTGCAACCGGACGTTTTCTGATCCAGCAGGAGAGTTGAGGCAGAAGCCGCTTGATCAGACCCCTGGTGCTTGGCTTTGCTCTGGCTCAATACGTGTCTCTACTTGCCGACGCCACTTGTGAAATAGCTATATTGACTCGCGCGTACTTAGCGGACCGGCATACAGAAGTTGCATGAAAAAGGATTAATGGAGCGTGCACATATTAACGTATCTGAACACATACTCATAGCCAAACCGCTGTTAGAGCAGCATTCCCCTCTGTTTGAGCGAAGGAAGCTGGAATTGGTACTGTCACATTGAGACATTGATTGACGTGACACTGAATTTTAAACAGCATCACTTTCAACCCTGCGTGTGGTGTCGGTCTCTTGCCTCTGGGCCTTTTAATAAAAGTGGGGGGTAGGAGTAGGTCGCCCGCTGGCGTGTATCTGACAGGCAGGGTGTCTCCGTCAATACCGTGACCTCTACGGAAGCACAGGCGATGTACCTCTAGTCAGTAGCCGCCGCTCAGCCTGCTCTGCGATGGCACTAATATCACATGAAGGCGTTTATCCGTGCCGGAGCACAAAGGCAAATCCTCCGGGATGGTGTAAACATTGAGGCATTGATGGGAGACACACACCCAAGGACTACGCCTCCGAATAAGTGACAATAATTAGAGCTGCTGTCTCTATCTCTCAGGGTTCCGAAACAACAGCATGAGCAAATTAAAACGGCCCGACAGTGACATTGATCGGGTTTTCCTCTGTGGGCCGTTGAAGCACTGTGGTGTCACTCTAACAGACGTCTCTCCTCGTTCACTGTTTCTGTCTCGTTCTGCTTTTTATTTTTTTGGCAAAAAGACCCTTGTTGACAGTGTTGGGGGACAAAGTGGTCACATTAAAAGTGCGATGACATGAGCAGCATTGAGACAGTGTGCGTTTGTGTGAGTGGGAAAAGAGAACGAGAACGGGAGATTCCCTTCTGACCGGAGGGCTTTGCAGGGTCAACAGTCTGGGCGAGGGAGATAGTATTCTTTGTTCGTAGCTCAGTGGTACCACCTCTCTGTAATACTCCTTCTGCACCGCTCTCTTTTTCTCAATAGGTTTTATTCTTCCCATTGGCAGTATTAATATTTGATGGCCTCATTATTTACTTCAACCATTCAATCCAGCCGCATTGTGCTATTGTGATTCCATTAAGCCAGTAAGCTCAGGTTTCAATGAAGCCGCTCCGCACCAAACATTTCTGTACACCAAAAGACGATGAAATGAGTCAAATCAAATGCATGGCGCCGTTCTGTGTACTGACCTGAACGTTTCTTTCTTTTGCAGTTAGAACAGATCCAGAAGCACACATGGTACATGTAAGTATGCTGTCTTTCCTTGCTATTTAAAAAACCCTCCACTCCGCTCCCCTCTTAGCTTGTGCTGCAGGGGTCGCATACCTTAGGGGAGCGACCACATGATGAATGGCTTTGAGTTGCAGCCGTGCACACAAGAGCATATTTGAGCAGGGCATGACTCCACTCTCTGGGATGTGGGGGTAAATTGGTAGTGCATGAAAGAGGATGTTCAGCATGTGGTCCACCGAGCAGGGAGTAGGGGGGAGGAAACAAGTATGTGGTTGAGGTGAAACCCACCTCAGTGCCCCCCCTCGCCTTGCCCCCACCTTTTTAAGCTAACATACAGTATAATCAAAGAAAACTATGTTTCAGTTGCAAGTTTTTTTTAATGGGGAATGAAAGGATTAATATTACATTACATTACATTACAGGTCATTTAGCAGACGCTTTTATCCAAAGCGACTTACATTATACATTGCATAAACCCATGGCTTTTTCACATTTTTGCCTGGGGAGCAATTAGGGGTTAGGTGTCTTGCTCAGGGACACTTCGACATGGAACATGGGGCAGCCTGGAATCGAACCACCAACCTTGTGCTTCCCAGCACACCTTCTCTAACCCCTGCGCCACGACGACCCCGTAATACATATTTAATTACATTTTTATATAACTAGAAAAGTACTAAAAAATATTTCTTAAATTATTTCGAAGGTTCTTATCCTTGCAAAGATAAATCCTGACAGGAATTTGTAAGCCCTGAGAACGGGGTGGTTACGGCTTCTGTCGTGTTCTAAAATATCACGCAAAACAGACAGCAAGGCTGATAAAAGAAACGCAAGAAGACAAGCCCAAATTGTTTTTTATACCAATTCAAACCGTGCCATCCATGCACATTGTTTGTTTATGAGTTGTCTTAGTTGCCGGCTTGTTATCAATCTGCAGCTGAGCAGCGCCGTGGTGCTGAAAGGACAGCGCCAGGACAAACTGTACAGTCTAATACAACAGACCCCGGTTCCCCCTCTGGCGCTTTTTGTATGTGTTTTTACCCCAGTGAATTAAACCTGTGAACCTGTAAAGTTAAGTTAATTTTGCCTCCAATGCAAGCCGTGTAAAATTATGTTTTGTCAGCCGAAAGTAACATAGCAGGGACAACGAAGGCTGACGTAATCCTCAACTGTGTTGTGATTTCTTTGCATTCCCAGAGCGGGGAAGAACGAACCAGAGCCGGAGCAGCCCGTACCCAGGAAGGTGACCATCCGCAGCCTCCCGTCTGCAGACGACATTGACCCCGACGTACTGGACAGCATGCACTCCCTCGGCTGCTTCAGAGACAAAAACAAACTGCTGAAAGACCTGCTCTCCGATGAGTGAGTGAATGCAGGGGCAAAAGGGAGGAACGGAAAAGCAGTGGAGTGAAGACGGCTGTGGGAAAGAGGGTACAACATTGTGTTGAGAAAGGGATCAAAAGCAGCTGGAGACGAGGATGGAGCTGTGAGGTGGTGGCCCTGCCAGAGAAGGACGGTTACGTGGTGTCGGTGTGCACAGCCGGCCTTGGTTTTTCCCCTCAGCTCTGGTGTTTGTATATATATCATGTGTTTTTTATCAAAATGGGCAGATAGATGTAATTTAATTTGCTTCGCTCTTCTATCTCCTTCCCCTCTGGTTTACATTTTTCCAGGCTCTTTAATTTAATAATAAATGAGCACTTTCTACTCACCAACCCAATCTCTTCCGTTTGCCTCTGATCTCTTGGGAGCTTCACATAATAGTTCTGGACTGGATGGAAATCTGTGGTCTCTATCTCCCTTTGCTTGGTTAATTTCAGCTGAAGTTGCAGGTTCTTGTCTCTTAGCCTCCTACTGCTTTTCAATCGGACCTTATTGCAGACAACCAGTCCCTGGGCCTTTTGCACGGAAAGTATTGCCCTTAGGCTAAAGATGTTAGGCTTCCTGATTTATAGAGGATGTCTCATAATGTTTTGATACTTTCTAGTGGCAGTTTCACAACGAACCCAACACGATTAAAGGGTGTTAATTGTAGTAGTGGTTGTTGCAGTTTAATGACTTCCTCTTTCGCTTTTGACTATGTATGTACACCGATGCCTTGCTCATCCTTACACGTTTCTGTTTGAAATGATCCAGTTTTGGTTAAAACCTTTGCTATTTTATCCCATATGTCTCAGTAGACAATGTCATTGTCTCCTCTTTGCAGTGACAACCAACAAAAGATGATCTACTTCCTGTTACTGGACCGTAAGGAAAGGTATCCCAGTCAGGAGGACCAGAACCTTCCCCCTCGCAATGAGATCGGTGAGGCTCTGACCGAAGAGACCGAGAGTACAGATGAAGATTGTATGATGGTAGAATGTGGTTCAAAAAAACAAAGAGATTTATGAAAAGTTCATAGCAGGAGTATTTTCCATCCAGTTGTTGGAGAGACAGCTGTATACACAGACAAAGCAACCCGATTTAGTCAAGAATAAAGACTTGAAGGTAAAACTATATGCTTCTAAAATCTGAACCCTTCTGCAATGTGTCCCTCGTTCAGAAGAAATTAGATCAACTCTAGCAGTGGTGGATTTGTTTATTTTTTTTCAATGAAATATAATAACAGAAATAGAAGGTGTCAATCGGCCAAATTTGAAAAACTGTTGCCTGCGACTAATTCGGTTCAAATAACAACTCATCATGAAAATGTTATTCTTCTATTCGTACACCGCAATGCAGACAGATTTCCACCTACGGAGATCTGAGCGGAGACAAAGTGCTCTACTTAGACTTCTGCTGGGGTTATTTCCTGACAACACAAGCACTGTAAGAGGAGGAGTGTTATGCTCAAATGTGCATGTGTGTGTGTTTGTGTGTTTGTGTGTGTGCTGGCAGACACAGATCTGATTTATAGACTCCCTCTTCAGTTCATTTGATACAGTCAATACAGTGGCCATTAGTTCAGAGTGTGGAAAGGGGATACCATCGCTTATTGGATATTAGTTAACGTGCCAATATGATCAGCTGCAAACATCACTTTAAACACACACGTGCATCGCACAAAAACGCTCCGTGTGTAGAAGCGCGCTCGTTAACGGGCCGGGACGTCACAGAGAAATGTGTTTTTCTGTTTTGTTCGATTTTCACGCAGATCCCCCAAAGAAGCGCGTGGACTCTCCCATGTTGAACCGCCACGGCAAGAGGAGACCGGAGAGGAAGTCCATGGAGGTCCTCAGTGTCACAGACGGGGGCTCGCCCGTACCGGCGAGGAGGGCCATCGACATGACGCAGCACGGACAGAGGTACGCATGGAGGTGAACAGAAAACGTCTAATGAACAAATGGAGATGTGTGTGTGTGTGTATAGGTGTGTGTGTGTGTGTGTGTGTGTGTGTGTGTGTGTGTGTGTGTGTGTGTGTGTGTGTGTGTGTGTGTGTGTGTGTGTATAGGTGTGTGTGTGTGTGTGTGTGTGTGTGTGTGTGTGTGTGTGTAGGTGTGTGTGTGTGTGTGTGTGTGTGTGTGTATAGGTGTGTGTGTGTGTGTATAGGTGTGTGTGTGTGGTGTGTGTGTGTGTGTGTGTGTGTGTGTGTGTGTGTGTGTGTGTGTGTGTGTGTGTGTGTGTGTGTGTGTGTGGAGGATCTCGTAGCCCAGTGGTGTTTGAGCAGGTCTGACAGTCTTGAGTCTCGCTCTTCTGTCAGCAGGCTAGTTTAGATAGACAAACACCAACATAGACAGACGCTCTGCTCCGCTTTGTCTCCCGTCTCGCCGTAGTATATCAATGTACAGAAAAGCTTGGATATTCCTGACTCCGGTGCAAAATGCAGCAAAGAAGAAGGTATTCCCTTGCCACTCACCCCTCACACGTTCACCTCCTCTGGCTCACGTCTCCCACGCGAGGAGACGCTGCACGGCACAGAGAGATGCAGCGCTGCTTTCTGTTGAGGGAAGGGCTTTTGTTTAAATGGCGATGAATGCAGCGTGGGGCAGCTTCACGAGTGCATTTTAACAAATCAATAAGTTATCTTCAGTGGTTAGAATTTGACTCGACGCTCTCGATTGCCTTAATTGCCAAATCGGAGTAAAACGGCGCATTCCAAATTCAGAGCCTTGATTTCTGCAACCTCACTTTTTCTGGAGTTGGCTCGATTATCTCCTCTTGTCATTATCTCAACGCATTGATAATCAGTTCCTCCATGCCGTGTCCCACTTTGTCCGGATGCAGAACATTTCTCCATTTATCCGTTTGAGAAACATTGAAGTCAAGCTACGACTGCACCACCCACAAGGCACAGCCGACTGATATGAAATATATTTCACCGTCTTATTTTCAACAGCCAATGTATCATCACACGACACATTTCTGCTCCGAGGCAGTGACATTTGTGACAGTGGGTAAGATTGAATCTAAGGGGATGATAACCTGATCTGCCTAATGATAGGCACATTGGCGGAGAAGACTTTCCGAGGTATGTGACATAAATGCAGAGGCAGCGAGAGCATATATTCAATAGATTAAAAAAAAAAAAATGTCGTTCCAAAATTGAATATTCATCCAAATGTCAGGTGCATTAATAACTTCTCACCATAGCGCTTTGTCAACAAAAAAAAGAAGTGAATCTATTTCCCGCCTCATTTTGGTGAGGGAATCCCCTTCAGAACTTTTAAATCAAATTCAAGCGCTCCTCTAAACACTTCTGCTTAGTTCTTCCTGACTCCTGGTGTTTGTGAATTTTTACTTTAACATTCATCTTCGTGTGTTTCATTGCCTCTTCTCGCGCCTTTTTTTCTTCTTCATTTAAAGGTTGCGTTAGTTTAGAGCCTACCTTCATCTGCCCGTCGCTCTGACTCATCGGTTTCAGCCAAGGTGACATTTTTAAACATTCAAAACTGCTTTCCAAACCAGAAAACAAAAAAAGCATCCACTGCTGAATAGCAAACATCATATAGGACACTGAAGAAACGGGACCTTTAGGTTTACAAATCTCAATAAAAACCTCACAGGTTTGTCTGGATCCTACACACATTAGCAGCTTGAGTCATTTACAAAGCCCCGCTACATCTTTCCTCTACGTTGAATCTGTTTGGTTTCTAAATCTCTTTCATGGGCTCCTCTCTTCTTTTGGTTCCTTGTGTGTAGCTGACCTTTAGTCCCAAACGCGCCCCCACCCCCCCCGTAAGTATGGAATATCTATGCTAATGTAGAAAGGCTGCTAGTTTTTTCCTGTCGGTGGGTTTGAGGCAGAGTCCTCCACATCGAATATCTCTCTTGCTTTATGTTGCTCCCCAGCTGATTGGGGGGTGGTTGGTTGGTAGGTAACAAAGCCTCTGTGAAACTTTTGCCTTTCTTTGATCATGTGCATGCTCCTGTGTGTGTGTTTGTAGATGGTGGCGTCGTGGAAGCACTTACGTAGCGAAATAAGCGTCCGTTGATTGACTGACTCTGTGAACCTCCCCTTATCTTTCCTCGACAGCAAAACTTTTGTCGACAGCGCAGATGATTCGCAGAACTTTAGATCAAAGGGTGTCAGAGAGAGGGCTGACTCGGAGACGTGTTTTGACAGGATGCATTTCAACCAGCGCGAACGATGGAAGAGGGGCAAACCAGTTTTATCTCAAATTACTCAACAAAAATGCCCGTCCCCATCCAGCATTTTGCCCCGCATGCCTTGTGTGTGTTGGCGGTAATAATCCGATCAAATGCACATGCTGCATTTTCTTACATGTGATTGGTGATTTGACTGCTTCTGTGAAGTATAATTGAATAGATTTGGGATGAATGCCGCAACGTTGCTGAGAAACTCACTTTCTTACTGGCCATTTCCTTTTTTTTTATCTGTCCCAAAATATCATAAAAAGACATTTTCAGCCAAACTCAAAAGCACAAGAAATCCCCCAGAATTAATTTTAAATCTTAACAACATGCCAGGAGAAATGAAGGGAGGTTAATGATATGGAAATGAAATATGGAAAAGTGCTGCAGTGCGAAGAAGAGAATATTAATTGATTTTTTTTTTCTTCTCTCTTTACAGTTCCGCTCTGGTTGCTTCATGATGTTTGAGTTGGTTGGGTTCGTCGGAGGCATCTTAATGAGTCGGGCTCTTGTGCTAATTATTGACTCTTATTTATTCAAGGGGCTGAAAATGAGCACAAATACAGAGCCTTTACCACTGATCCCAACATCAGGTGTCTGAGCTCTGAATTTAACGCACAATTCCTCAGGGCCCAAGAAAATGACAACAAATCACACTAGCAGAGCATTAGCCTTGTGTTTTGGCTTGGGCAGTGTGGTTTGTTTGACTCCTGGCACCATCCGGTGCATTTCCCTTTTTGTTTTATTTCAGTCCATGCCCCTCGTCCCAGAACCTTTTGTACTCGTTCCATCCAACAGAGGCCGACATTAGACCCCCACAAGTGGTTTGGATGGGTCTCTGACACAGCCGATGGTCACAGGCCGAGGACACGGGTTCATTCCAAAACAGGCTTATGGGAAAGGGCTTCTAAATGGATAATTGAAAGATATGAATGAGTGGCCATACACATACACCATTAAACTGACATGTGTGTGTGCCGCCACCAAATCACATTAAAATAAATAATGTAATTTCCCTCCAGTGGTGTTTTTGCAATGCATATAATTTAATTTTAATGTTTCCAGGAGAAATATCCCTTTGTGAGATAGAGAGGAAGCCATGGAAAAGTCCTGCCTTTGAAATGTAAAAGTACTAACAGCAAATGCACAATGGTGCCTGTCAAATGAATATGAATATTCTGGATTCACTTAATGAAGCAATGTGTCCTCAAACCACACTATCGATGGTTTTCATTGAAACCGCTTCCTAACGACAAAGGAGTCCCGTTTTAAACTGTCGACGGTGTGTTCTGTGAAGTATAGAGTAATTGGGATCGTATATCTGGAAAGAGCAGTTTCTTTATTTTGTTGTTTTCAAGTCGTACTTTTAAATGCTGTGAGAACCACAAAGTACATTCCAATCACTTCAATTGTTCTTTGGGTGGAGGCGTAAATCTCAGCAGATGTCGCAAAAAACTTTCTGTATGGCTTGATACCACTGTAGTGTTTACTTGGAGTGAGTCAACTAATTTTATCTTTTTAAAGTTGTGCTACTGTTCACTACAGACACAACACTCTTCAACAACAACAAATCCTCTCTCCAAAACAAGGGTGGGCCTCTGACACCTCAATACTGTACCGTTTAGCGGCTTGTCACATTACCTTCATGCAATGAGTGCGTCTAACACTGGGTGTTTCTATATTTTGCTCCCTCTCCTTGTAGCTGTTGCCTCCCATCTGTTTGTGTGTCTGGGTCTCTCGGGAGTAATATTCCTCTTTTAGTATCGCTTATCTCTCGTGGTGGTTGCAATTTAACAGCCAAAGGGAGACGAGCGACTGAACCCAAATAAGCGATCCCCCTTTTTAGGAAACGGATACATATAGATCTTAATCCGGGCCTGTTGTTATGACAACACTGGTGTCATTTGTATCAGGAATCAGGAATCAGGAAACATTTATTAGCCAAAATATATCAAACATACAAGGAATTTGTCTTGGCGGTTAGTGCGCGACAATAGACAGACAAGACAACAGTGCACAAGTAATAAAATAAAGTGGAATGAAATGCTAATGCAATGGGTTAGTAGAATAAGGCTAAGGCTATGGGTTAGTATAAAACAAGGGAATAAAGTTAAAAAAAATTTAATATTAAAAAGTAAAAAAGAAAAATATTAAGCATAAAGGAGTCGGGCACGTGCAGCTGGGAGAGTTTGTCCTGCAGCAGAGATGGGATGATAGTGTTAAAAGCAGAGCTGAAGTCCACAAACAGGATCCTGGCGTAGGTTCCTGGGGAGTCCAGATGCTGGAGGATGTAGTGGAGGGCCATGTTGACAGCATCGTCCACAGACCTGTTGGCTCTGTAGGCGAACTGCAGGGGGTCCAGGAGGGGGTCGGTGAGGGACTTCAGGTGGGTCAGGACTCGCCGTTCAAAAGACTTCATGACTACAGAGGTCAGGGCGACCGGCCTGTAGTCATTGAGTCCTGTGATCCTGGGCTTCTTGGGGACAGGGATGATGGTGGAGGCCTTGAAGCAGGCTGGTACGTGGCATGTCTCCAGGGAGGTGTTGAAGATGTCAGTGAACACCGGAGACAGCTGGTCAGCACAATGCTTCAGGGAGTGAGGGGAAACGGAGTCCGGACCGGCTGCCTTACAGGGATTTAGTCTTCTAAAGAGCCGGTTAACGTCTCTCTCCAGAATAGAGAGGGTCGTTGCTGGTGGGGGAGGGGAAGGTGATATAGATGAAGAGGCGTGAGCACCTGATGGGCTGGGGGAGGGAGGGGAGGGGGACTGCAGCAGGTTGGTGGAGCTGTGGGGGACGGGATCGGGACATTGTCTTTCAAATCTGCAGTAGAACTCATTCAGCTCGTCTGCCAGGCGGAGGTCATTCATGGAGTGGGGGGTTTTTATGACCACTGTGGATGCCTCCGTGCTCCTGTGAGAAAGCTCCAGCTCCGGGAATGACCATCAGTCTCCATTACTCAATCCCTCCCTCGCAATCTTCACTCTTTCATTCCCTCCCTCCTTCGCCCATCGCACCTACGACCCCCCGCCCGCCCCCATCCTCCCGTCACATTTGTCCGTGAGGTCTTTCTGCTGCAACCGAGCAGGTTGGAAAAAAAAGGTAGCTGTTGTGTCTTTATCCTTTCAGAGAGACAAACGATCTGTTGGCTCGGCCACATGTTCACTAATGCATCAACGCTAATAGAGAGGGAAGGGGGCTGGGTGGGGGGGTATTGTTGGATTGAATGACAAAAAGGAACAGTGTTGTGACAGTGAGCAGCTGGTGTTTCCAAGTGTTGACAGGCTCTGTGTCTTTTTTTGTGCGTTGTGTATGTGCGTGTACGTGTGTGCGTGGGCCCTTGATGGAGACAGATTGTCCTGTGATTGTTCGTTTCTGAGCGGGGCTCTGCTCATAGTGGTTATTGACGGCATCTGCGGGAGAGGGTGGGGGGGGGAGGGGAGGGGACAAGAGAAATGGTACTCAACCAAATGTCTCACTTCGTTTCCTCCATCCAGATTTTTCCTACTGATGCGGCGCTAGGGTTCAAAACGTGCAGCGTGCTAGCAGACTTTAGGCCGCTCGCGAAGCCGACGTTAATGCAAACCCGTGGAAAGACACACTACAGATTTGCATGGGGAAGCTGCGGCATTTTTTAAAACAAAAGTTTAAACTCGATTTGTCTGATACCGAGTGCTGCTAGTCGACGCTGGTAGCGTATGCTGTCCACTCTTCTTGCTTTGAACGTCTTTGTGTGAATATATGCTCTGTTTGCAAAGGGCTCGATAGCAACCCCCCCCGTGGTACGATAGTGGCATACGTACTGTGGTGCAACATGTAACCTCTGACCTCTCAGCTCCACCCGTGTCTCCTGAAACCTGCGACATGGCACCTCTTGATCCCTCCAATCACCTCTGCCCCTATGTGTGCTTGTGCCACAGGTCTCGGTCTATTAGTGGTGCCTCCTCTGGCCTCTCTACCAGCCCCCTCAGCAGCCCCCGGGTAAGTCCTGACCCTCTACATACTTTCAAACATGTGCAGCACTCACATGTTGACCATGTATCTAGATGTCTATCCTCAGGGAATATGACCAAGTCCTGCAGATCTCATCTTAGTGCTGCTTATGTCTGCAAGAGGAGGACAATTTGCTTATAAAACCTTCTATAAAAGCTTCTTCTCTCTCTACGTATTATCCATGCTTCTGCGTTTGGGCGGGGTGGGGTGAGGGGGGTTGAGCCTTGTGGAAATCCAGCTCCAAGAATGCTTCACAAAATCAACTTTTCTTTCCCAGAGCTGGGGAGCTTGTGGTAAACTTTTCCAGCTGACTACCCTGAGAAGGAACCGGATTAGCCGGGATCCTAAGACGAGCTCCTCGCGCCACACGGGCACCACACGGGTTTCTGACCTCGCAAAGCCTGGATTGCGCGCTCATTGAGAGGCTTTGTGTGGATTGGTTTCTCAGATTTGTGTCTGGAAAAAAGGGAGGTTCATCCATGCGGGATTTTTGCAATTTTACAATTACAAATATCACTAAACCTCACAGCAGAGATACCAAATTGATGAACAAATTGTCTTCACAGCTGGTCTTTTGTCTCTCACACATGTCAGCGTCTGCTTGGTTTTCTCTGCCAGCGTTGCTCTGCATGCATTTTTACTCATATGTCTGTTTTTTTAATTGTGTCTATTGGTGGCTGGTTTTGTTGTTCCAACCTAATTTATGTTTTCTTATGGCATGAGTCACTGAATGCTCTTTTTTCTTTTCTGTCGTCCTTTTTTTTGTCAATGCCTCAATCTCTCCCCTGTATGCACACATCTTCCCTGTCTCTATACTCCTTGCCTGCCTCCTTTGCTGGCTTCGGTACACTTTTCTTTATCTATGTGCTTGTCTGCCTGCATGCGTCCCCGTGTGTTTTTGCGCCTTCTCCACCCGCCCCGCCCTTGGCCGCATTGTGCCGCGCGTCTTCACACTGTGTCCCCCCCCGCTCCAGCCGGTCAGAAAGTTCTGTGTCCCGCCCCAGTTCCCTGACCTGCCCCAGTCCCCGAGCACAAGCTCCTGCCCATCACCTGAGCCCGCCCTGAATCGAACGGGGCCTCGCATGTCCACCCCCAACTCGCTCGCTCCGAGCAGTGAGCCCCCGCCGGCAGCTCTCAACAAGACGCAGACACTCCCCACCAAGCCCAAAGTCGTGCCAAAACCCCTGCAAGCCACACTATCGAACCCGCTCCCCGGAACCTCAGATCCGGCGTCCGCCGCCAAGTCCGAGCCCTCGACTCCCTGCCAACTGGCGGCGCACCTGCCCTCTGCCTCTGTGCCCCCGACCCTGACATCCCCTTCCTCGCCGTCCTCGCCCTTCTCCCCGTCCTCCATCTCCAGTGCTGCGTTCGCAAACAGCCCCCAGGTGCGGCGCTGCCACTTTGCCGCCGGCCCCCAGCTCTCAGTGCCCTTCAACGGGCCGGTGCCGCTGTCGCCCATCCGGCTGCACCACTTCCACCCCGTGGTGCCGGCGGCTTCTGCGTTCACTGACCACCCGCCCAAATCTATCCCGCTCATACAGGTCACCCCTCACCCTTCCCCTCGAGGCAGCCCCCTCCCCACCCCCAAGGACACCCCGGTGCACACTCCCAAGGACAGCCCGGCCGGGACCCCCACCCCCACGCCGCCCCCCAGCCCTTCCATCGGAGGCATGCCTTGGAGGACACGCCTCAACTCCATCAAAAACAGCTTCCTGGGCTCGCCGCGCTTCCACCGCAGGAAACTTCAAGGTAATGGCTTTTTCAGCAGGTGTAACATTTCCTACGGCGAACATTAAATTGTGTCTTAAAGTGTCATTTTCCCTCCTTGAGACCTGAGTGGTCTGCTGGCGATCTTTCTTTGATTTTGCCTCTGAACTCTAACCTTGCCTACACAGTTCCCACACAAGAGGAAATGTCCAGCCTCACACCAGAGTCTTCCCCCGAGTGAGTAGATACTACACCACCACTAACTACCATGACTATGCATGAGCTGCCAGCCACGTGATAGCGGGATGATTTGGAAAGTATTACGTCCATGAAAGTTTGATTTTTGGCTGCTGAGTTTCCTGTAATGACCTCAGGTCCGGGCTGGAGAAGCAGCACCGTGGCAGGAGGTACTGGGTTGGTTATAGGGTAGCCTGTGTGATGTGGTTGAACTCCCAGGGGCCTGATAACTCAAGGTTGGCCTAGATATGCCTGTGTGGTTCGCTGGCTCCCTGGCTTGGCCGTTTCCACCTGGCTGAGAAGAACATCCCAGCTGGAAAGGATCGTTTAAACAGGCAGTCGCACACCAGCACATTCAAAACTGCAGGACAATGTGGCCCTTAATGTAGCTGTGGTAACATTATAGAAGTACGGGGGAGTAGGGTAGGCTCTCCATCAACATCCTCAAGAATTCCGTAAAATGTTAATATGCCACAAAGCAGGAGTCCATATGGCTTGTGGGTGCAAGCACACTTGGGCCAGTTGTGAATTAATCTCCTTCCACCCTTCTGGACCTAGAGTTCCGTTAGACACATAGAGGCTCAATTATCTCTTTCCCATACATACATTAACTGAAACTCAGTTGAGGATGGAGAGGATTAATTTTCTTAAAACGTATTCCCACTGCGCATTATTTCCATTGAGGGTATCCTTGTTTCCTTTATCAGAGAGATTTTCATCGTTCTTAGTTAGTCGGATGGATTGTTTAATGAGTGGAAGGAAGACCAACACTCTCTAGCAGGCACAAATATATGATGTAAATGTATTAATGTCCTGTCTTTTACCTACAGACTTGCCAAGAAATCCTGGTTTGGTAACTTCATCAACCTGGAGAAAGAGGAGCAGATATTCATTGTCATCAAAGACAAGCCTCTCAGCTCCATCAAGGCTGACATTGTTCAAGCCTTTCTCTCGGTACGTACTCAAGAGTGTCTTGTTTAACTCCTCACTTCATCCGTGCCTCCACTCCCATCGGATCCTTGCGCCCTGACTTTTCTTTGGAAATCTGAATATGCATGCATGCAAAAAGTATTCCATCTTCTGTGTGTCGCAGGACGTTGCTTTTTCAATGCTCTCTGAGTGTTTGCTAACACGCTTCTGATTCATGTAGCAATTCAGTAAACTGCTTGTGGTCAGTGCTTTTATTTTATCTCTGACTGGAGACTCTGTTGGAGGTCAATAGAAAATCAACTGAGAGCATTGATCATTAGCATATAGATGCTCTCCTCTCTAGACCATTTATTGAGTGTGTGGTGTGTGTGTGTGTATATTTAGATGTGCAGTGTGAGGAATTGAGAGATAGTGTGAATTGTATCTTTGTGTGTGGGGCACCTGCAGATGTGGATTTATAAATACATGCAGGTAACACTTGGGCTCCCCAGTAAGCGCGGCAGCACCTTTATCAACAAACGCCCAGCAGTAGTAGTTAATATCCAGTGTACATCATTGAACAAAACCTATCCTCACCCCAGGTAAATTTAACAAAGTCTCGGTAAATGCAAACGCTGCCAGTGCAGGTCAATGTTAAATCAGTTTCCCCATCTGTAGCTCTTTTCCCCCCCTTTGGGTTTTAAGTAGCCGGTATTCCAGACAGGAGATTGGCACCTGAATCAGTGGAATTATACCTCTCAGCACATTCATATTAATGGAATGGCAAACCCTCTCCCGCACTTTGGCATAACGTGACTATTTCAGAGCTCACCTGTTTACCTGCATTGGGCATACAAATTCATTTCTGGTGCAATGTTGTTGGATGACCCCTGCATTGCATCGGCTTAAATCTCCCTTGCATGTATGGCTACTCTCAGAGGCATTGATCTCCCTAGAGCTTCAACCGTGGTTGGTATTATGTGGAGGGTATTTTGATAAGGGTTTATTCACCAGTAATTTGCTAGGTGTGGGAGAAAGATTTAACATGTTCCTCTGTATAATCCCATTACGCTCCTTTTTTTTTACAACCTAAACCTAAACCTTTTTGTCCATTTGCCTATACTCATTTCTGCTTTCTTTCTTCCCCCACCAGATCCCCAGCCTCAGCCACAGTGTGATCTCCCAGACCAGTTTCCGAGCAGAATACAAGTCCACAGCCGGCCCGACAGTCTTCCAGAAGCCGATCAAATTCCAAGTGGACATCACCTACACGGAGAGCACAGCTGCCACGAAGGAGAATGGCATCTACTCCGTCACCTTCACCCTGCTCTCAGGTCAGGGGGGGGGGGGGGGGGGGGGGGGGGCTGCACATTTCAGCTGAATTGCGTGTAATAGTGGCACTCAAGAGCATGCTGGTTCTTCCATGTCACCTGCTGTTACTTGCAGCGGGAGCTTACTGGTACCCCCCTCTCTGACCTCCATTTATCATCTCAGGCTCACACCGTCCGCACCCTTATTCTTTCTTTTTTTTATTTCTCTAATTGATCCATCAATATAGTTCCCACACACTCGGCCTGCTTTCTTGCTGCTACCTGTAGATTGCGATGCGACAAATATTTCCCCCTTGTGTCACCGCGTTTAGGTCCCAGTCGGCGATTTAAGCGAGTAGTGGAGACGATTCAGAGCCAGTTGTTAAGCACACACGACCAGCCAGGGGTCCAACAGCTGTCTGGTGAGTAGGACCCTTTGACATATCTCAAAACCTCATACAGAACCTCTCCACCCTTACCCCTACCGCCTCATCTGCCCAGCCATCCCATGCATTGCTCTTCCCGCGTGCTTGAAGCCGCTCCCTGGCTCTCCAAGCGGCTTCCTTTGCATGCCGCAAAAAAGGGTGGGAGTTTCTCCCAAGCACAGAGTGCGGTTCAAACGTTGTCGTACCGTTGCCCCGGCAGTGAAGATTAGAGTGGAGGTAGGGTAAGCTGATTTGCATTCAGTCGCTCCTACTTCCAAGACTGATCGTGGGAGCTTGTCACCATAGCAACACCACTGCACCTCAACGCACTCCCACAGTGCATCGCGCCGCCCTGTGACACAACACCTGCCTTCTCTCTCGCTCTCTCTCTCTCTGGGTGCTTGTACCAATAGGACCCCATCCTCCTGTCCCCCCCCCACCCTTGTCCACCAGCCTCCTTCGGAGCCTCCAAAAGCACCAAGCAGATGTAAAGACCTTGTGAGTGGCTGCCTCAGTCCTCACCTAACCGTTCGTCCTGGGAACTTTGACATTTTTTAAATATTCCTCCCACCATGAGTTGCCGGTTGGATGTTGATTCACTGGAGCCGTGAGCGTCCATTCGCTCCCCAGTGCCACTATATCTCTTTCACTCAACGCATAGACTTGATGGCGAAAAAGGAAAAGAAGAATTCAATCGGGATCCCACTCCTCTTGACAGCAGCGCCGCTTGCTGGTCACGTAGGGAAACACCACCTGCCTGAAATGCACCGTTTTCATCCGGGGACGGTGTGCTGTTTTCCTTGGATGTCAATTTCATCTCACGCGTGAATCATGACCTTGGTTTTTCTATGTTTGTGTCTTTATCCCTTCGATCCCCTCGCCAATTCCATATAGGACTTTTTTGAACAGATACGTGGCCATCATACAGCTTTTACTGGGTGTTACAAAAGTGAGCTGTAGCCCCGTGTCTTTTTAGGCAATATTCATCTCACTGACGCTCAGAAGTGAACAGCAGTCATTACAGCTGTTGTGATTACCTCACTGAGGTTGCCAATTAATTTAGATGTTTCTTGTTTTATGTTATGAATAGACTGAAGGTTGAAATTATAATCAATTATATTACATTAGTATCAAATTACTGCTGTGGGTTTCTTTCCAGCAGATGAGGAGGAGGGTAATATGTCAAACGTTTATCACCAGAGGATAATGAGGATACGAGAAAAAGCATAAATAATGACTCTATCGGAACGGACGAACAGTGTAATACTACTTGTTTTTGACCAAGGTCAGTCTTGTCTTTAATTCATGTCATTAAACTACCGCTCGGCGTAATATAAATGTGAAAACAGGTCAAAGTGTGCTTATCGGTAAATGAAAGATTTCCTTCTTTGTGACCTCCTCGCGCGTTTTCGGCGCGACCTGATCGTAGGCTCTCATGAAGTCACTTACTGTAATTAAGAACAGAAATGGCTTTGCACACCGATGCGTGTCAAACAAAAGGTCTCATCAAGTCTTTGGTCATTATGTCTCCTAATCACCATTAACGGAAGCACACCTGGAAGCTTAAAAAGACAATAGGTGCACACAACAAAAGGAGTGTAGACAAATGTAGGCTGAAGGACGACAGAGCAGAAGCGTTCATTTAGAGGGCACCGTCTCCATTTTAGGGAGCAGCTGAGATCATTAAGATTCATGGGTTTTGCTGCCATTTTTTGGAAATGTGCAGATCAGGCTGGAGTGAAGCGAGTGAATGGGGGAGAAGCCTTCACACATGAGAAACTAAGAGGGAACATTAGGGAAGAAGTTGGCGGCAACCATTTTCCAGCAGGATAATGGAGCCTCTATTAGGTGCTGATACACCGACTCTGCGGTCCGGTGTGCGAGTGTGTGCGTTTTGTCGTCTGTGCAGCATCCCGGCCTGTTTCCACTGATGCTGTCGCGGCTCAAGCGACTCCATCTTGCACGTGGATCTGTGGCTACCTTTTCACAGTCATGTTGGTGGCAAATAGTTTCCAAAGTTGCCCCGTGCAAAACGACATTAACAGAAATAACTGAGTGACTGCTCCATTTTTGCATCATTTGCATGAATACTGTCTGATGCACGCAGATAAACACCAACACGCCAAAACACGAGCACAGTAAGTGTGCGTATAGCAGTTGGAAAATAGGGTTGGATGTGAACTTGTGTCATTTAGCATATTCGGCCATTTGATTCAGCCCACAGCATGAGCTGGACTTTTTCTTACTTCAAAGTGTTGGTGCAATGATAAGGCCGTCAACCGGCGTGTTTGATGCCTTTGTCCGGGTCTAATCGTTAGCAATGGTTCAAAGTGGTGAACTGAAGTGTGGAAATGTGTTGATCAAAGGTTCTCTCTTTCCACCGCGCAGATTTCAGTCCAAACATTACCGCGTCGTCCTTCGCTTACAATAGCCACGAGACAGACGGCCTCCGTGATCTGCACTCTGCAGAGGTTCAAGTGGACGTTCAGTTCTCTAATGGAGCCTTTCAAAGACAATTAGGTTCAGCAAAAAGGAGAGGAGACACTCATTTATTACCCTTCAAGGGCAACGTGGTCATGAAGCTGGAGGCGCTATCATCGTCCACCTGCCATCATCTGCCCGGCTTCTGGCTGCCGCAAAGTGCCACAGATGACACGGGGCGCTTCCTCTTGTCTGCATCACACGGTCGTATGTGCTGAATGTGCTCACTGTAGCATCGGGCTACAGAAGCCTGTATTGACTTTGGTCCTCCCCCCCCCCCCCCCCCCCCCCCCCCCCCCCATTTGCTTTGATTGCCAGTCTGAGATCGTATGGCTCTCTGGTGTTTTCATTGGTCGTGTTGTTACCTCAGCATGGCCCATCGTGCCGACACGGCAGCAGCAGCAGCTTTCATCCTCTCTGTGTGCATCAGGCTTACGTGCCTCGTTTCTGTGCAGTCTACCCCGCTGTTCATTAGTTTGTTTGTTCTCTTTCTTCTCTTTTCCTCCCTCTCTCCCCCCCCCCCCCCCCCCCCCCTCCATCTGTGTACCTAGGCAGCCCATTGAGTAACTTCTTTGACGTAATGAACCGACTTTTTTCAGACGAGAAGAATGGACAGGGGTCCTACCCCTCTGGCACGCCCACCAAGCACTCCCCCTCGCCCATTCACGTCCGGAGGCACGAGCCAGAAAATAATGACACCAAATGCCCCGCTGCGGGCCGAAACCGGGTCAGGCTGTCGGTGGCGTCTTTGGGGCCCACGGGAGGAGTCTTAGAACGAGATGCTATGTAGTCGAGCTCCCCCGGTATCACTGTAACACAGAGAGAGTATTTGTACATAATCATTTGTGGGCCTTCTTTTTGTATGAAATGACTTTATAGAAATATAATATATTGAGAGAATCTAAGTAATGTTTTATAAAAACGCATACTGCACCTACACGACAAACACGCGCAAGTCCTTCCATTCCCTTTTTCATTACCCCCACCCCACCCACCTTCACACCACCACCATCCACTCCTCTACCTCAACCATCCAATCGCCTGTGACCCTTGCTCCGATTCTTGGCTCCCTTGCTGATAACCTGTGTGATGACCTGACTTGTTTCTGATACCAGGAATTATCCAGAAAACCTATTAAGCCCCTCCTCCTGCTCCCTGCTCCGTCCGCCTTCCCTCGACCACCCTCCTGCCCTGCCGCCCGCCCGCCCGCCCGCCCCACCCCTGAGCATGCCGGTAGCTATAGACATTTGTTGACGGAGGACGGTTTGTAGAGGTGCGCTGAAGAGAGGGTAGGGGGGGGGGGTTCACCATGGAAACAGACCCCTTCATCTGCCTCCACGTCCCTGCTCCAGCTCTGGCAGTAGAAGTAGATGAAAATCCCTTTGTGCGTTCCCCCATTTTAGGAACACACACATATGTGCACAGCTAATCCTCAGAAATCCCACTGAAGAAAAAAACGAACACCCCCCCCCCCCCCCCCCCCCCCCCCCCCCCGCCCGCCCGCCCCTTTCCTGTCGAGGAGCATTCGTCATACGGAGTATGAGTATTTTACAAAAAGACACTACACACAAAAAACATGTGCATGCTTACATGCACAGGTCTAGTTTGCACAGAAAACTCTGGGATGTATTAACAAGAACACAGAAAACAACAGAAAGAAGACACAAAGTGACTGATGAGGAGGAGAGAAGGGGGGATGTAGAAAGCCAAAAGGCCGACGCGGACACTTGCTGGATTGTATTTGTTTGCTTTTTAATGTAATTTCTTTGTTAAAACTGGGTTTGAAATACTAAGTGACTATGAGACGTAATACTCTTGCTGCAAATGGACTGGAATTGATTTCAGAGAGGAGCAGAACGCTGCAGGGGGATCGGGGGGGTACGATGACACGGGGTGGAGGGGAGGGACGAGGGCGGGTATTTACTTAAAATGAATGATCTATTCTGTTGTACAGACTGATATCATTTCTTCTGTATAAAAATGAAATATCTAGTTGTGACACTACGTTTAGATACCATGGGCTCAGGTTGCCAAACCTGCGCCTGCTACATGCTGTTCTTTTAAATTATTCTGTGTGTTTTGTTACACGATCATCCAAGTCTTTGTCGGATTGAACTAATTATGATCAAAACAACAACACATTCCTGTTTGTGTTATTTGCAGCACTTTGTCTTTGGTTTTCCATTCATACCTCTCTTCTCTTAGCCTCACTTACCAGCAGTAGAAGTAGAGGAACAAAAAAAAAAATGATGTGACAAATGCAATTTTTTGTATTTCTGTCCTTATTTATTCAACGTTTGTTCATCTTACTGTTTGATTTCCTAATTTATTATAACTTGGCTATTTATATGAACAAAGCTGTTAGGTCAGTTGAATGTTATTTATTACCCTCTTGTGTGTTCGTAAATAGGGCAACATTTGAAGAAAAATGAAAATTAACTTCTTCTTTAGTTTTGGTCTACATTTAAGAGATTGTGTGAACAATCGAGTGACAAATTCTCTTTTCCCTGACCTCTCTGTGGAGGGAAAGAGAACTTGTGGGAACTCTTGGAAAAGGAAAAAAAAACATTTACCAGTAATTTAAGAATGTAGAAGTAGCCTCTTTTTGGAGAGGGGAAAATGCTCTTTTTTTGTCAGTTTCATATTATTGTGCGTGTAGGCCGGGCCTGGGGAGAAGGACTCTACAGATCCCAATCTACTTCTTCTCTTTGTAAATATACAGACAGACCGCAGGGGGGTTGATCGTCTTCTCAACCATGCTGGGGATTCCTGCTCAATGCTTTTAGTCTGTATTGCTGTGTGCATGTCGAACATGAGCTTTTCTTTGCATGGCTTTAGTATTCATGTTCCATGCCAAACTCACTCCTCTCAGCCTTCATCGATTTTCTCTCTCCACAAAATTGACCTTTTTAAGGTTTTAAATTTCCTCTTTGCCCTACTTTTTACCCTCAGCTTTTATTTCTGGCCTTTTTTTTATGGTCCCTGCTAATCTTACCCTACCTCCCCCTCTTATTTTGTGCACAAAGATTTGAACGATGCTTCCTTTACTCTGTACCTCTTTGGAAGGCTTGGATGTCTGCTCTCTCCACCCGGCGGTAGAAGAGGGACAGTGAGGGGATATCAGCGCACAAACAAAAAGCAATACCCTATCGTTCACTTTCCGTTGATTTTATTTTTATTTTTTTAAATGGGAAGCTAGCAGTACCAAGGACATCTGATGATTCTAAAGGACCAAAGCGGTCTTTTTTTGCCAGAGCAGGAAACAAGCTGACTTATGTAATCCCCATATGAAATAACTGTGAGCATCTTCAGTGCTGAAACAAATAAACTCATCTCAAAGTTATGGTGTGTTAGTTTTCTTCCTGTGTGTAGGCATCCGTAGTGTTTGAAAAACCATATCTTAACAGTTGTTTTATCCCATTTGGACTGATTGGGTACGGACCAGTGACCACGGTAAGAAATTTACATTTTCTCAGAATAAACCAGCATTCTGCATACTTCACTTATCTTACAGAACTGTTTGGTAAAAGCGTAGATTTACTGTTTCCTTTCACAAATGTATATTCATCTGTGTCTTCTAGTGCGGTGGTTGTGACGTGCACTGTAATTCTTTCAAACTCTGTTGACACTATGGCCTTGTGGTGTGAAGCACGATTAATGCTGAACTTTTTATGTCCGTCAATTATCTCAAAGTACTTTAAAACCTTGAGATAAAATGTCATCCACGTGCTTTACAAGCCCTATAAATGCGTTAATGACCCCCATCTTAAGGTTTTCAGGTAAGTCTACACAACTCTAAACAGACAATACATGGTGAAATATTTGGAATAGTCTGCCCCACACTGACAAAGCTTGTTTAACAGGTTTATTACAATTTTCACCATTAAAACAGACCAAATGTTTTCCAAATCCCACGTTAGACTTTGCTGTATAGAAGCATTAAACCTCAGCATACCATAAGCTTAATTAACTGGAACAACAGATACACAGAAGCAAGTTTTCATCAATAATATTAATAATTTGCTTGGATTAAAAACAATAAAAAAGGGAACACCCCGTTAAATACTTTCGCATCTTTTTTCTCATTAAATAGAAAATGTCCATCCCACTCTTAACTTTGTTTTGCCAGAAACACCTTTAAAAAATAGAAAATAAAAACATTAAGATACATAAAAAGTACATTTGTTAATCCAAAATGAACGGCAATGCTTGAGGCACCACGTCTACCTTTGTCCTCCCATTCTACATTATGATAACAGGACAAAGCCATAAGTCCAGCATGGCAGCCCCACTCAAGTCAGTCTATTTGTTACACAGCGCCAGTCAGAACCAGGAGGGGGCGATGGATCCCAAACCCTCCGAGGGAATTAGTCTTTTTGCCAGTTTTGTCCAGTAGAGAGCAGCAGTGTTTCATAATTCAGAGTTCCCACCTGTGACATCCATCGGTTGCCCCTCGCTTAAAGCTTCCAGAGCTTTAGGGGGGAAAAAACATGACATTGACCAATTTTCTTCTTCATAAACAAGCCGTCCACTGCAATGAATTCAAGATGAAGTGCCTGGCACAAAATATGAAATGCTGAATTGTCCACATAGTAGATTCTAACTGCTGCCAGATGAACTTACTGATCTCTGTCCCAGTGTCAAATCACTGTCACTAAGAAAAGCATGAACTCAAACCATTTCAACAGTATCTTTAACATCTGATCCTCCATCAGTGATAAGAGGAACCTTAAACTGCCGCGCCATTATTTCCGTCCGCTTTCCTCAGACCCGGGAAGTGACGCAGAGAGAGCGTAGCCGCTGAGCCAGCGTGGCCTGCAGCTCCTCGAGAGGCGAGTCTCCCCGGCTGGGAAGCGAGGTGGAGGTGTTCCCCTGTCGGGTGGCGGGGGGTCCCAGCAGCAGGCTCCTGAAGCCCTCCCTCTCCAGTAGAGCGGGCATCTGCTGCAAGAAGTAACCTTCACAGAAAGAGCTGAGTTCCAATGAACCATGGGCCTGGAAAAAGATAAGACAGAGTTATGTTGTTGTTGTATCTTTCCAGTGTCGAACCAGGGGGGTATTCCAGAAAGGAGGTTTAACAAACTGAGTCTATCCCTGAACTCAGAGTTGACTTACTCTGAGACAGGAAACTGAGTATCCGGTTCCAGAACAGCTGATCTGCGTTAGTTCAATCAACTCTGAGTATGTTCACCTTGAGTTAAGCACGTGCATGACGATTATAAAAAGCCATCATCAATGGAGCCCCGATAGCACGAGTCACCACGAGTCACCATGACAACAGTAAATAAAAGAGCAAGCTATTTCACTGCGATGGAGTTGGAGGTCCTTCTGCAGGCCTACGGCGAGTATAAGCAAGTATTCCGCTGCAAATGCAATACAGCTGCAGCAGCGAAGGAGAGAGAGACTGCGTGGGGAAAAATGCTGCCTTAGGCTGACTTAGGCTTAGGCTATTAAACAAAGTAAATATTAATTCAGTGGCTACTTGAAATAGTAAATTAAACCGCTAATAAAATGTTGTTTTACACGTCTTTTCACTTAATACCCCACTTAGGTATAAAATAAAAATGTGTCTAAGTGTCTCCTATCGAAGACATTTAAAATGTGACGCTGTAGCCTAAACCAACACTCAATAAAATACCAATTAAAAAACAAAGAAAACATTGAGTTCTGCTCAGCCAACAGAAAGAAGGCAGAGGCCCGAAAAACAGGTGGAGCTGGCCCTCAGCCTAAACAGTGGTCGCCCGGTGGCTGAAGGTATCCCTGGGAGAAGCTCTTCCGAACCTGTCAACCCCCAGGGCACAAGTGACTACATCAGATGCAAGTATATACTTCTTTTAAAAAAATAAAACCAATATATACACTACAATTCAAAAGTTTGGGGTCACCCAGACAATTTTGTGTTTTCCATGAAAAGTCACTTTTATTTATCAAATGAATTGAAAATATAGTCACTTTGATGGTTCTAAGAGGTTTGTGTCGGGGGTAACACCACCATCACGGGTAAGACGCGTTTCAGTGCGAGGGGAACTTTCCTCACAGCTCTACAAACTGCTGCCTTGCCAAAGTGCTCTGCATCCCCGATGTTGCAAAATAAACGTAGCGCGATGCATAAGATTTGCTCCGATGTGAGTGCACGTCCGCGGTTGGTGATATATGGCCGGAGAATGTTAGTGAGATAAATGATACCTTGTGAGGAAAAGCGGTAGCGTTCTAACAGAAATTCCTCTGGAAATGATAAAATGTCTAATCTGGGTTGGAAGATTCTCTCGCTACGTAAAGCATTTTGAATCACTAAGGCTTCGATGTCAATTGGATTTGGTAGGAATGTACAATCCATGTCTACCAGCTTTCTTCATGTGGGAGGAGACGGTAGAAACTTTGTGTTTCTTATAGTAAACCTGCCAGCGAGCAGGTTATGGTCAGAGTCTGTTACCATGGTGATTGACTCAGAGTTTCAGTTACCTCTCTATCTGGAACGGATAACTCAGTTTCCCTGATCTCAGGGTTAACTTACTCTGAGTTTTCACATAACCCACTTTCTGGAATACCCCCCAGTTCTCACAACGCGATGCAGACTTCTCGGCGTGTGTGTTTCACCTTCGCCCTCTTGTAGATGCTGACGGCATTATCCAGGTTGATGAGCTGGGAGCAGATGAGTTCACAGTGTCTTTGTAGCATCCGCAGCTGGAACAGACTAGCAGCTGACATCAACTGCAGGGGAAATCAACAGAAAACGTGTTAAGTTTAATACTGGAACAAATACATCACTGAAGGAACATTTAGTTGGTTTTGTCAATAATTTGGTTACTGATTTATTTATAAATATATAGAGACAGGGTTAGGGGTAGTGTCCAACTCATCTCCACATATCGGTAAATGATGGTGAGGGAGGGAATTTGTGTTTTATTATAATAGGGTTGTGTACTAAAAATAAGGTTGGCATTTTTGGGGGTCTTACCCGCAAGTATAAATGCACTTAGGGAAAGCTGCTTTTGTTAAAAGCATCAGATAAATAAATGTAATTGACGATTTAACTGGGAATTTTCATTATCAAAAAAGTCCATAACCAATAATTATTGGACAATCATTAGATTCTTTCTGCTAAATAATTTAACAGTTTATGTGAAACTAACAACCCGCTGGGATTTCTTGCAAGGAAAACCTTTCATACGAATACTGGAATAGATGCTATTGTGTCTGTTTAGTGCTTCTCACCTCCAGCAAATCAGGCACAACTGTTTTCAGTGAGTCTGTTCCGCCACAGTACAGGTATGACATCATCATCTGCAAGGAGGTCAAAAGTCTTATTTATCATTTAGAAAAACAGTCAGTACAGCAGTTAAACTAAAGACTTGACATCTGTTATATGTGGTACATCTGAATTGTTTCTGTTCCAAAATATGACGTATTTTTGAAAACCAGAAAATAAAGAGCACATTTGTTACCTGGAAAATGTTGTACTTGATGTCACTAATCTCAATCTTCTTGTTGGGGCTTCCATCTGGTCCACAGCACGCCAGCAGAGACTTGAATCTAAAACAAACAAATGTCTTCATCAAAACCCTCAAGGACAGTCATGTTTTAGGTTTGTATCATTCTGTCGAGTGGGAGCTCATCTGGACTCACCGGTCAGAAGCTGTGATCAGCAGGACTCTGTGGCCATAGAACGGTCTCCCCTCCACTACGAAAGTCACATCTGACATCTCCTGGTTATTCAGGAAATGAGGGTCTGTAGGAAAACACCAGTACATCCTTACAACTCCATTCCCAGGACAGACCTTTTAGTTACAAGGTGTCCAGTCTGACCACTCGTACGTATTAAGGAAACCAGCAGGTGTATCGTGAGCGCGACTGTTACTGGGTCTCTGGATGTTATTTAACTAGCTTGACAATAAAATTCTAATTGGCACTGGCAGCCAGAGAAAAGGATCGGCGTGGCGGTGAGATACTTAGGATTTTACAACCGTGTCCAATTATTTTGGCATCAGCTCAATCAATGTCTGTGGGAGATTCTTAACGCCATACATCAGAATAGGCTAAACAATCCATGAATGCATTCAGATAGTAATTTGTATTTACAGAAAACTTACTCTGAGGTCTTAGATATTGAGAGTGCAGAGCATTATGGTGCAAACTCAGCAGTTTAAAACTGCACACTCGTAAATAGATCCATTAAGATGCTGAGCACGTACAGAGATTTTCACATTGTTTTGGTCAATTATTCTATCTGGAGGCTTGGTGACGGGTGTTTGCATAACGCAATCTCCGCGGTATAATGTAATAAAACAATCTGGAGCTGGAACTATTAGTTATGTGTAGTTAATTATTGGAAAAATAATCTGCAGCTGTTGGATTAAGCCCATGTTCAAACAAAAATGCCAAACATTATTTCATTCCAGCTACTCTTTTGACAGAATTTGCTGCCTGTTTTCATCTTATCTGGTAGTTAACTGACTACATTTTAGGATACTTTGATGGATTTTTAATGTTTTGTGACATTTCATCAAAAAAAAGAATCGATCAGATTAATTAATGAAAGTAAGGGATCTAAACATGTTGACACAAGGATCTTTTTTTTGGTCACCGCTATGTGTTCATATACACTTTCATTAAAAAACAAAGCTGTCTTACCCAACTGTGCTGAAAGAGTTGCCTTCATCCCACGGATGCCTGGGAGCGGGGCGGGACCAAAACAGTGGCTAAAAATAATCGCCAAATGATGCAGAATGGCATCATTCTGGACAACAGAGGGAAAAGCATGGAGAAGGGGGTTATATTACACACCCCAATAAAGTATCTCCCCGATGTCATGCAGACAAGCAGACGGTACCTTGGTGGTACGTAGGATGCTGAACATCAGGGGCAGCCCTGTGGTGACCAGCTCCTCGCAGTAGTCCTCTTCTTTGATCGTGGTGAACTCTCTGAGGAGCGAGAGGGTGACTCCTGCCCTGGACTGATACTGGGCACAACGCAGAGATTCCAGCCACACGTGTAGCTTCCATGGTACACCTATGTGAAGATATAATAAAAGAATTTTAGTTTGGATTCAAAGGACGTCAAAATGCGATTAGTGCAAAAGTCCTTTTCTGATCGGTACCCATGGCTCGTAGCTCCATGGTGACATCCAGGTAGCCGTGCTCTGCGCTGTAGTAGCTGGCCTCCTGCAGCGCCTTCATCCTGGCCTTGCACAGCCTTGCTATGCCCACCTCTGGTAGGTTCCCGTGGCCAGAGGAAGGGGTGGGCAGAGGGGAGGGGGGCAGGAAAGGGCAGATACCGGCCTCCTCGCCCTCAACCCCCTCGGCTAAGATTTCCTCCAGAGACAGGACGTCCTCTTTGACTTGCTGGGGCTGAGTCAGCAGCTTTCTCAGCACGTTTCTGACAACACAGGACGGGAGGAAGAAGTGGGGAAGAAAGCAGGAAAACATTAATATACGTCATAACTCCAACACATACATCCATCCATTTCTGTGACCCTGTGCCCGCCTCTCTAATTACATAATCTGTCACCCTCAGCATGGAATGTGAAGTGTTGAGTCTACATTGTGTTCACACGTACACACAGTGAACAGGTGGAGGGGTTTACGCCTCCAGTTGGTGTTCAGAGACAGATGGACTCTGAATGGGAGGCACTGAATTTCCATTTCCTCTGATCTGAGACTATCAAAGTCTGCAATTCCACCACAAGATAAAAAAAGAGGGACGAATCTCTCCAGGTAGCACGAATGCAGACTTCAGGGTCACGCATGACTCCGTGATAAATGAGTTAAAAGGCTTTTCCGTGTTACTTCGGTTCACATGAGTTAGAAGGGCAAAAGCCAGCCGTTTGTCAGCCTTCCACCTGTTGACGGCATTTCAGGTCAGACTGAGTGACATACCTGTGTCCATGTGCGGCGGCATGACTGAAGCAGTTCATGTCTTCATAGAGGGACGACGTGAGGGCGTTTCCATCGTGAGTCCTGGATAAGGGGTCGGCACCTCGCGCCAGGAGAAAACTAACCATTTCATAGTTCCCTGGAAGGCAAATTAACAACTTACTTACATACAGACACATTTAATAAATGGAAATTCTAGTTTTTTATGGGCACTGTAGGATATTAGAAACAAATATACGACCCGGTTCATAAAATTAATAAAAATGCATATAGTGTACACCAGAATACAGCCATGATTCTGAAACTGTGTAATCAATAAAGTAATGACAATATTGTAAAACCACTGTAATTCTGCAACTGTAATAGAATAATACCAATGCAGTTATGATTGTATTTGATATAATGTAATCAACTGGAATGCATGCATGTAATACTTGAACAACAACTGATATTGACTAAGGATCATTCGAAATCCCGAGTTACATTGAACTCACCAGAAGACTCCCAGAGGTGTGGACACTGACTTTCACACCTTTAAGCATTGTTATAAATACCTGTAGGAACCATTGTTCTCGAGTTCGCTGGTGGAGGCGACAGACGGGCTCTAGGGAGGGTCAAAAGGACTGACCTGGGGCCTGTTGGTTGCTGAGACCAGCGGCTCCTCAGCTGAGATGTTCTTTTTACAGCAACACCATCTCCTTTATTAAATACGTTTGATTTTAACCTTTTGATCAGCGATGACCTCTGTCCGTCCGGCGTTTCTTCATTTTTGAACACAACAGCACCAACCACAAATAATATTTTGTGCAGTCTACTTTTATGTTTTTACAGTCGTTTTTCTAACTAATTTATTGCACCTGCTGTTTGCCCCACGAAAGAATTGTATTTTATAATCCTTTATTTGGCACGAACAAACTCATTCCTATTGGGCACTATTTGCCCGCTGTCATTACTGCTGTGTAGAGCACATGTGTTTTACTACAGCTATGTGTGGCTTTTAAACGATCCCACAGAGGAATGCTGCCCAGAGAATTTCTAAACAACCACAGGCGGCACTCATTTACTCTCTCACTTCATTGTTCCTGCAGCCCATGCGCCATTCACAACTTAATCCTGCGCTTCTTTTTGAGGGGGGGGGGCGGGGGGTGGCGGAGGGGGCTTTTGAAAAACTAGCACACTGCTGAATTGGTGACTGAGAATCGTTCTAAAAAAAGTTTAAGAAAGTTATTAGTGGATTGTGAGAACATTACAGCATTGGCTCATTCCTGCGTCTCTCCCTTCTACAGACGTTTTGGCCCGGATTATTTAGTTATCATTTACAGACCATGAAAAAACAGTTTGACAATACTCTGCGCTGCCTTTTGTTGTACTGCGTGTTTTGTTCTTTTTATCCGTACGTGCATGTGTTTTCCCACCTGCTGCTGAAGCGAGCTGCAGCGGGGTGTCTGCCGTGCTCTCCTGCCCGTTGCGTACAGCGGCCCCCTCAACGTTGGTCCCTGCATCCAACAGGAGCTGGAAACACACGACACACATCTGTTATGCCGTGCACTGTTTGCAACATGCGGGCGACTACACGTGTGTGCGCGCTTTCCGACCTGCACTACGGAGATGTGTCCATGCAGCACGGCGAAGGTGAGGGCGGCCCAGTGGCGACTGTCGGGGTGCACGGACGGGTGCTTTGGGGAGCACGGAGGAACCTGGCGGCACATTGGTCCGTTTTCGACATCGTTCACTTGCAGCAGACATTTACTCAACGTGCACATTTGTTAAAGCGTGTTTACCGCAACATCAAGGTTGGCGCCGGCGTCGATCAACATTTGGACCAAGGCCTCGTCTCCGGCTGCGCAGGCGTACATCAGCGGAGTCATGCCCTGCGTGATGGACAGCAGGGAGGGCCAAAGGAAAACATGAAAAAGGAGCAAAACAAATACATTAAGCTTAAAAAGTAACTATAAATACGAGTACATAACGTTGCAACTATTATCCGGTACATAAAACACCTTTATGCTGCTATAAACAATGAGTCCGGTGTTCAGTACCTGGTCGTCCATGCTGTTGACCCCATCGGAGCCCAGAAAAGCAATAGCTTGGCCAATGAGATCTGTGCGTCCACAGTTGAGCATCCGGAAACCCAAGTCGAGGTGGAACTTGTCTGCTGCAGCTTTGGAGTCCAGACGCTTAAAGGAGCTGAAGCAACATTCAGGCCTGACGGAGACAGATAAGAAGAAATAATAAGATTTGTTACACACGGTTTACAGCCCCCTGTGAGTTCATGTGCGTGTTCTCATTTACTTCAGCTGTCTCGGTTCACAGTCCAGTCCTGGAAGGAGTAGCCTGGCAGTTTGTCTCACATCATCGCTATCCAGCAATAGGCTCTTGCGATGCTCGGCATGAACTATAGCCACTCTCATCCACTCCATCAGAGGCGGCAGCAACAGGAACGGCCTGTAGAAAGAAACATGAAATATGACTTTATTTCTGCCTCGGTATTATAAACAGAACGCTGCAGTGGCTTCTGAATAATCAGCCTATTTTTAAACCGGATGTAGCGGAATAATCAGGAATCAGGAATCAAGAAACATTTATTACCAAAATATGCCAAACATACAAGGAATTTGTCTTGGCGGTTGGTGCGTGACAGTAGACAATGTGACAATAGACAAGACAGCAGTGCACAAGTAATAAAATAAAGTAAAATGAAATGCTAATGCAATGGGTTAGTAGAATAAGGCTATGGGTTAGTATAGAACAAGTAACAAAGTGACGAGTGACGACAAAGTGATAAATTACAGTTAAAGTGGCATGTGCAGTGTGAAGGGGAGTGACCGGCGGAATGTTATAGTCAGTCAGTGGGGGACCGGGCTCTGTTGATGAGCCCGACTGCCGACGGGAAGAAACTGTTCGTGTGGCGGGAGGTCGTAGTCCTGATGGACCTCACCCTCCTGCCACATGGAAGGGGCACAGACAGTTTTCGTCCGGGGTGAGTGGGGTCGGCCACGATCTTTTTAGCTCGCTTCAGAGACCTGGAAGCGAACAAGTCCTGCAGGGACGGCAGATTGCAGCCGATCACCCTCTCTGCAGAGCGGATGACACGCTGCAGCCTGCCCTTGTCCTTGGCTGTGGCTGCAGCGTACCAGATGGTGATGGAGGAGCAGAGGATGGACTCCATGATGGCCGTGTAGAAGTGGACCATCATCGTCTTTGGTAGGTTGAATTTCTTCAGCTGCCTCAGGAAGAACAACCTCTGCTGAGCCTTCTTTGTGATGGAGCTGATGTTCAGCTCCCACTTGAGGTCCTGGGTGATGATGGAGCCCAGGAAACGGAAGGAATCCACAATAGTGACGGGGGAGTCACACAGGGTGATGGGGGAGGGTGGGGCTCTGATCCGCCGGAAATCCACAACCATCTCCACTGTCTTTAGAGCGTTGAGCTCCAGGTTGTTCTGGCTGCACCACGACACCAGGTGGTCAGACTCCACCTGTAGGCGGACTCATCCCCACCAGAGATCAGTCCAATGAGGGTGGTGTCATCCGCAAACTTCAGGAGCTTGACGGACTGGTGGCTGGAGGTGCAGCTGTTGGTGTACAGGGAGAAGAGCAGAGGGGAGAGAACGCAGCCTTGGGAACCGGTGCTGATGGTCCGAGAGGCTGAGACATGTTTCCCCAGCTTCACGTGCTGCTTCCTGTCAGACAGGAAGTCTGTGATCCACTTGCAGGTGGAGTCGGGCATGTGCAGCTGGGAGAGTTTGTCCTGCAGCAGAGACGGGATCAGGCTGGTACGTGGCATGTCTCCAGGGAGGTGTTGAAGATGTCAGTGAACACCGGAGACAGCTGGTCAGCACAATGCTTCAGGGTGTGAGGGGAGATGAAGTCCGGACCGGCTGCCTTACGGGGATTTAGTCTTCTAAAGAGCCGGTTAACGTCTCTCTCCAGAATAGAGAGGGTCGTTGCTGGTGGGGGAGGGGAAGGTGATAATGATGAAGAGGCGTGAGCACCTGATGGGCTGGGGGAGGGAGGGGAGGGGGACTGCAGCAGGTTGGTGGAGCTGTGGGGGATGGGATCAGGACATTGTCTTTCGAATCTGCAGTAGAACTCATTCAGCTCGTCTGCCAGGCGGAGGTCATTCATGGAGTGGGGGGTTTTGGCTTGTAGTTAGTGAGGTGTTTGAGGCCTCTCCAAACCGAAGCAGAGTCGCTTGATGAGTTTCTCAGAGTACAGTCGTTTAGCATCTCTCACCGCCTTGCTAAACTTTTTTTGCCTCTGTGTACAAGTCTTTGTCCTCACTCCCAAACTGATCCTTCTAGAAGGATCAAGCATTTAGGAGTGGGGACAGAGACTACACCATGGAGGCGTAGAGTTCTGAGTTCCGCTGTGAACCAGGGTTTGTCGTTGTTGTAACTCACCCTGGCGCATGATGGTACACAGCTGTCCTCGCAGAAGCCGATGTAGGAAGTTACAGCCTCTGTGTACTCATCCAGACTGTCAGTATCAGTCCTGAAACCATCACAGTCTGTGCAGTCAAAGCACGCCCGAAGAACCTCCAGCGCCTCACTGGTCCACTTCTTGAATTCCCTCACCACAGGTTTGCAGAGCTTTAGTTTCTGCCTGTATGCAGGAATCAGATGGACCATGACGTGGTCAGAGTGTCCCAGTGCAGCACGAGGGACGGCGTGATAAGCCCTGCTGACTGTGGTGTAACAGTGATCCAGCGTGAATAAGCTACCTAGGGAGGATGAGTAAAGGTTCAGCCCCGTAGATGATTTCTAGAAAGAGAACCAAGTGAAACCAAAGAGACAAGGAAAGGCTTAAAATAGAAATGACAGACAGGTTGGACCTGTTCCTTAAGAAACAATTCAAAATCCTTTATTTGCCGAGCAGCGGTGCAGTCTCAGTCGAGAGGTAAAAGAGAGCAGAACATAAAAGGAATGCTGTGGTATTTGTGAATGTGGCAACCTAAATGTAATTTGGCCTCACTTTCCTTATTCCTTGATCATTTTTCAACCGATCGTCTTAAGCCTTTTAGAAATCACTGGCGGTACGGCTACCTGCAACGCCAGAACCAAATTAATTTAGTCTTTCATGTGCCTTTTCTCTCACCGACAGTTTTGATCCTACAAAGTCTGAAGCCTGATTTATGCTTCTGCGTTTTCAGAGCGACACAGACGCAAGACCCCCTTCCGTGTCCCTTGCGTTTCACACCTCCTTGCGTCCTTGCGTGTGTCGAGCCATTTTTCTATGGCGTTATATTTGTGCCACAATCCTGAGCGCGTAATTTTAAGTTTTGAGCACAGAGAACTATATTTTAGCAAAGAAAAACATATTCCGTGCGCGCAGTTTACTCAGGTGCCCTCTCTACAAACTTGTTTTCTGCGCGCAGGCAGCCGTTGCTGCGCTCTCTCCACCTCTTCACGCTGCGCTCGCTCGACTTGCAGCAGCGTTACATTTGTGCCACAAAACCAACCAATCAGAGAATTAAAGAAGGTCAATTGTGATTGGCTGTTGGTCTCCAATCACAATGCTTCCTAAAGAAGACGAAAAAAAGTGATATTACAAGTCCGGCTAGCCACCATCAGACATGACCGAAGCAAATGATGAGAACAGCACGTGTTTTAATCCAGGCCATTAGCATTTAGCACAAATGCTGCAAACTTCAACAACTCGCTGAGCTTCCGCGATGCTGTAGGTCATATATGTCAAACTCAAGGCCCGCGGGCCATATCCGGCACGGCATGCAATTATATCTGGCCCGCGAGATCATTTTATATTATTGTTACTAATGGCCCGACGATATGAAGCGCTGATAACAAAATAAACTACAGATCCCATAATGCAGCGCTTCAGCTCCCTTGGCGAGCGCTTTCGGTGGCGTTTCTGGCTGACACAACCGCACGTCTCAATGCCGTAAACCTCCAGCTCCAGGGACGTGACCGCATGATCACTGACATGTATGACGCAGTGAAGGCATTTCCAGTGAAGCTGATTTTATGGGAGACACAAATGCACCAGTGCAACTTGCCCCACTTTCCCTGTTGCCAAGTAATGCGGAACAACGGTGTTCCCAAATACGCACTTTGCTGATAAACTGAGCGCGCTGCGCACGGAGTTCGCACGGCGCTTTGGTGATTTTGAGGAACAAAAAATAATTTTGAGTTGTTTCGCAACCCATTTGCCGTCGACGTGGAAACTGCACCTGTGCAGATTCAGATGGAGCTGATTGAGCTGCAGTGTGATGGGACACTAAAGACAAAGTACGACACTGTTTAATCACTCCATTCCCGCAGCAATGCCCCAGCTCCGTCTACATGCGGCTCGAACCTTGTGCGTGTTTGGTAGCACATATCTGTGTGAGAAGCTGTTCTCAGTGATGAAAACAATACCGCACACAGGAGTCGTCTCACTGATGAGCACCTTCAGTCCATCCTGAGAGTCTCCACAACACGGGACCTCACGAAAAACATAAACCAACTTGTTGCCAAAAAAAGATGCAAAGCATCCAGCTCTGATAAAATGGCATAAGAGAAAAGAAAACTGAATGTTTTGCATCGTTATTTGTTATTACTGAAAAGCACAAATTTTATTTATATTTCCAGGTTTTGTTTTGTTTTGCAGCATGTTCATATTTCTAACTTGTATAATTTTGACAGGAGACATTTTTATGGAGAGTAAAATCAAAGTTTTTTTAATATAAAATGACAAAAGCAAAGAATTTCAAATGTTTTGATTTGTTATTTTAATGTTTACTTAAAGCACAAGCACTGTCACAATTTTTATTTATTTTTTCAGGCGGTTTTTTGCAGCATGTTCATATTTCTAACTTGTATAATTTTGACTGGATATATTTTTATGGAGAGCAAGATATTTTAAGTTATTTAAAGTTTAAGTTTATTTATTGCAGAATAACATTCCTGTCTGTTTGTATTTATATTT